GATGAATGAGGCATTTCCGATTCAATCTTGTAGCTCCATACATACCATCTACTATTCAATTACGGTACCTAGACCATCGTCCTAGAACTAGATACGAGGTGGTGTAGATTCGTAGTTCCTCCACATCCTCAATCTGAATCAGAGAACAGATTTCTACCTACGTCAAGTGAAGAAACGTGATTCTGTCCCGATGAGCGCCCATGGCCCCCGTGCCAGATGCTTTGCTTCTACCCCTTCTCTGCGTTCAATTTTGAAGTACGAACTCTCATTTCGATGAGAATGGTTTCTGTATTGATGACTGCGTTTTGTCCACTCGCCCTTATCTTGACGTCTATCAAGCTGCAAGAAACAGCATGTAGCCACATTGCAGGAAATGTTCCAACGCCCGGGCATTCAACTGATGCCGTACGTAATGCTTGATCTCCCTCCCTGATGCGCCTTTGAGGCCTCGAGGCTCGACCTCCCTCGCTATTTTAAGCCTTTGAAGCGTAGTGACAGGTGGTTGTCTTTCTGTTTACTCGAATGCGCTCACCTTCGTGTTTCACATAGCAACATTATCATGCAGATTTAAGTCTCTGAAGCAGGAACGAGAATTACACTCACGCCCAATGATCAAGTTTTGGCAGAGATTTTTCGCCTTTGACCGGCCTTCCTCCGAATCAGCAGGGCATCAATTGCATACGAAAATTTCGTAATCCTGAAAACAGATTCGCGTTCAGCAGGTCACACATCTACGAATCAATCTCCTCATCCTCACCAAGTCTAGATTTCAGTAAACCCCTGATGGCGAGTTTACTGCTTATTCCACGACCTCCCTCTGTCTTGATTGAGGATGGACTCAGAGCAGACTTGGTCGTGAATCCGACTGACTTCTACAACTAGACTTGCCCATCCAAACCCTGTAGTAAGGAAGTAAGAAGATAGTTTTTATGATACAACCTGTTTCGATCTGAATGTCGTAAATTGTCAGATCTGAATGTTTCTGACATGTGATGCATACTTCCAAATTGGACAAGATAAAATTATTGGCCATTCATTAAACCATGGAAATCAAGTTTCCGGACGGCTCTGGAACCCCACAATGATTGCAAATCCCAGCTATAATATGTTTTTTATTCACAGCAACAGGGTGATGGATAGGCATGAGTGTTGTGGAATAGTTGCTGTCTAAATTATCCAATCTCACGAGGAAAGCTTGCCCAATCCCCTCCTACCATACCAGCGCACGAGAATCAGAAAATAAAAAACCTTTTCTTTCGTGGGGACGGGTATGATTCGGAAGAGAAACAGTGCAGTGAGTTGACCTGCATAGTCTAGTATAAAGACCCGCACTGAAGGCAGATGTGGCAGAGTATCTCCAATCACGCCTTCTGCTTCACGAACTTCGGAACTCTACATCAGATTCTGAGTGGCATGGAAGGTGTCGGGGCTATGAGTAACCTCAAACTCATAGCTCTGATAAGCATCGTAGTGCTTGTCTTCACGAGCACCACCTTCATGGTCGAGAGGGTCGGAGCAGTTGATCAAGATCCCCTTCTGGGTTCCTCTTGAAATGCCACCAGATCAACTGTTAGACGTATCTCTGGAGGCGCTCGGGCTGCTCTGGACATAGAAAACTTCTCGGGCCTCATAGCAATGAACACAATCGACGATCATTTCAGGTTTCAGCATAGACCTTGTAGTTGTAGAAGATGTATCAGCCTCAGAACCCGAAGAAGCGCAAATCATCCCCATCATATACACGAAGGGCACGAGCGCAATAGAGTAGATTTCCGCACTCCTGGTGCAAATGCGGTTAAGGAGTCAGGTTGGGTTTCTGTGGAGCGAATGTACAAGACGCTCCTCCTGGATTTACAGAACTTCTATCTATAATACTGATGCAGATTCCCGACATTTAAAAGGTGCGTAATTGAAATTTTCTCTGTATTGAGGTCTAAGCATTCAATTCTTTCACGGTGCCTGTCTTGATATGAAGGAATACATGTACAATTGCAAATATATCCATCTTTCCTAAACACTGGAGGAACTCTGCTTGACTCTGAGTGTAAATGTGAATCAGGAGCTGAGGGAGTTCGAGTTGCAGGTAGTATATTTTAGGTAAGCAAAAATACGGTGAGCCCAAGGCTCCAATGTACATTTGTAGCGCCTGCCTCACAATCACTTTCAAGTAATAATCCGACTGAGTCTAACCTCTACGTATGCTCATCTCTCACAGTCTGCTGTTACATTTGTTTCAATGATAATGAATAGTCGAATGAGAGGCAATGAAAACAATTATCTCTTTGTGTAAATTATATATTAGTATACTTTCATGACGGTCATCATCACTAACACTGACTTACTAGGACTTGTAAAGGGGTTGCCAAAATGGGGAAAGCAACACATTTTGGTAATCACCATTATATATGCTTTATCTTGAGTCAGCCAAAGCTTGTTGAAAAGACTTGTTAGGTTAATGCGGCCTTTATGTGTTTCTAGCGATGTTGATTTCACTATGACTCCTTATATTCCTATCTATAATTATAAACACCGAAGACTTTTATTTCAGATATATTCAAACGGTGTCAAATATTTAGTTGCACTAGAAGCAAAAAGATTTACCAAATAAAATTGCAGTATTAACAACTTTGGACCAAAATTCATATGATAAATCTGATTAGCTCAACATATTCCGTATTTTTCTTACATTGTTAGATCCAGCCTCTTAAATTCAATCTCTCTCTCAAATTCTCTCTGATGCGGAATATAAATAAACTGTGGTGAGATGGCGAGAAATCCCCTACTCTTTGTAGTAACTCTGCAAATACTCAGAAGTGAACCCCTTGTCATGGTCTGTGCACAAAAAACTCACATTATGTCTAGTCTAAAAATCAAATTATTCTTTTCTATTTTTGAAGTTGAAAACACTTCAGACTTATCTACACCTTAAATAATCATCTATAAGTGATACATAGTACAACTTTTCAAAAAGTGAGTCAATAGTAGAACATACTCACAAGTCAATATGTATATTTTGAAGTACTTCCTTAGAACTATGAGTTCGAACACAAAAGATTCGTATGTGAGGTTTACCCATGATATGTTTGCAAATGCCAAATCAACTTTATCGAAATCATGTAAAAACTTACTCCCATCAAGGAGCAACATATGTGTATCAATCATGTGTTTTAGCTAGGTCTCCGATCGTATCGAGAATGATCTTCAATCCGAACTCGACCCAAGCAAACCGGGTTGGATTTGGATAGATTCAGTAGAATCCAAATCGATCCCGCGGGGATCCATCCATGATTGTGAGGGGACGGCAAGTGGAGTAATTGCAAGGAAAAATCGAGAATTTGGAGCCGCAAGTATTTTCTTGACAAGGAGTTGATGCAAGAAATTTTTGAGTAGACAAGAGGAGCAAGATAGGTAGCGAAGTGCGGCCAGCTAGACGCAGAAGCGAACAAGCAAAAGAGCGGCATCGAGCAAACTGCGCAACAGGCAGGACGAGGTTAAGGAGGTGTGTCAGACACGAGAGGAGGAGCAAGGTTTCGCGAGACGGAATGGAAACTGATGCAAAGGATGACGGACCAACTGGGCTTGCTAGTCTGTCATCGTTATTGGTCGTTGCTTTACTCATGCCAGAATAAACATTTTGGATATCTCCAGTTGTTATCTTCAACATCCTTAGACAATTTACAAATGTTCCACACTTGAAAAAGCTTCGCGAGGATGCTTTCAAGGTCTCGTTGCTGAGATGAATCATCCAATCGCAGCCTCTATTTTTTACAAGAAAGTCTATCCCGGAGTTCTTGAATAACAAAACATTGTCTCGTTCGAATGACTCTACCGCCCAGGTTAGTTTTTGGGTCGGGTTCTTCTACCCAGACCTGATCTGAACTCGGGTTTTTGTACTTTATCGGAACCGAATCGGAGCCCTAGTTTTAGGTTAGATTGTAATACATGAGACAACATCTCAACTCAATATCTAGTAAAGTGAAATTTCTTAAGTATATTATTAATTTTTAGCAAGTGAAGATTATTGAGCTTGTAGCCTTGAAATACAATGTTATCACATATAATGATCTATTGCACTAAAAGCGTGGTGCAGTGAGGTTGGATCTTGAGTTGACACATGGCAGAACCGCACATGCAAGATATCATGAGTATAACTAAGTAGCTAACTGAGTATACACTCAGTTAGCACGCTCAAGCAGGCCCGAGGCAATTGTATTATGACGATGTATCATCTATACTAACTTGTCGGACTTTATGTTGGAGAGATTTAGCTCGATATATTTGTACATAAATAGTTTGGTAGAATCTCGAGTTGACACTTGGAAGACCCGCAATTATATCTCTATCCAAGGCGCAATTTACAATGTGAAACTCAAACATAAAAATTGTGCATACTGTCATGATTACACTGCCTAATCCATGAATCTTTCATGATTCCCTCCATATGATGATATGATAGGACACCATTTCGACTCGATAGCTCGTATGTGAGAGACGAAGAGACTTTGACATCTTATCCAATTGGTTTGATCCATATAAGGCTTGATGGGTCTTCCCATCAAAGAGTATGGGTCTTCCCATACTCTTTACTGTGTTTACTTGTTTCCCGAATACTGGAATACGAGGGTCTCGTCGCATAGTACTTATTTGACAAGGCTTTAATCGCGGGTAAAGCTTGCTTAGGTCTAATGCCAATGCAGGGAAATAAGTGCCAGTTGAGCTCCAGGTAGAAATTTACGAAAACGAAGAGAAAGAAGAAACCACGTGGATAGGAGATATCGGGCAGGATGTTCCAATCATGTGGATTCCGGAGGTTTTCAGGCAATTAGACTTTTAGAGGGCTTCCTCAATCTGACCATTAGACCGACGGTCGGATAAGTTTGTAAAACTTTGAAATGTAAAATTTTAAAACTCAGCACTTTGGTGAGGGCTCTGTGGTTTCGATCGTCTGCTGTACTTGTATATCATCCCGTTGTCCTTCCGACTGATCGGTACTCGTATCTGAACGTTCTGAGCGACGAGTCGAATCTACTGAGAAAGAATAATCTGATTCAGAAAGGAAAAAGTTACTATTCTAGCTCAGTTTGTTGACGATGTCGAGAACGATGGCACAAGTTGCAAGTTCAGTAATTTGCATGGCTTCGGCTCAGCAGGCAGCATCAACATTGGGCAACATAAAATCTGCGGTCTGTACATCACACGACCATTTACTCATTCATGCTCATCGATGGTTTGGAGTTATTGAATACACGTTCTCATATGAATGAACAAACCTGCTCGTTACTTCTGCGAAATATCAGGCTGACGTTCATTGGAACACTTTTTCAGAAGTTGGCACCGTATTCGAGTCTTTCAGGAAGGGCTCGGAGAACAACTGTCAGTGTCAGTTCGCCCGCTCTCGTGCACTCGTGGCAGGTAGTCTCATTCTCTGCGTTTCTAAATCGTTCCCTGTTTCTGGCTAGATGGAATAAGATTTGAAACTAGAGTGCCTTTTTTCCTCAGTCTGAATAATGCTCTTCAGACCAGTCTTCTTTCTTTTCCAGAAGCCCACGAGTAGCTGACATTCTAGGAAATACTATCAAAAGTAGTTCCCTGTGTTGACAGTTGTTTTGTTCTTTATATTCAATGCAATATCTACTGATAAGTGTTCAGAGCTCCAGGCCGTGTTCAAAAGGTAAAGAAAATGTTCATATCAATGAAGAACTGTCAGAAGGTTACTGACTGCCAATGGTCGAGAAATACAGGGGCGTCAAATTCGAGCGAAAATCTCAGCCGAGAGAGGAGGAGAGGAGGAGGAGGAGGTGACAACAAAAGAAGATATCATTTTAGAAGTGAAGCACGACCACGCGGAGTTGGAAGAGTGCTTTCAGAGGTACAAGAAAGCACACTCTAAGGGTCAAGACCACGAGGCCAGAAATTTGTTCAACCAATTCGTGTGGGAAATTTCTCGTCACTCGGTGTCGGAGGAGCTCATCCTCTATCCCATGATGGATCTACTAGGGGATAGGGGCAAGGAGTTAGCCGACCAATCCCGGGAAGATCACCACCGAACCAAAGAGATTCTGGCCGAGCTTCAGACCATTTCCGATCCATCACTGTTCGAGAAAAGGCTAAACATCATGATGGCAGAGTTGAGGGACCATATGAAGATGGAGGAGGAGGAAGACTTAGCTTATTTGGAGGCGAGAACCGATCTCGCCACGCGAGTGACAGCAGGGAGGACTTTTTCTTCGGGGAAGAAGATAGTGCCAACTCATCCCCATCCCGAGATCCCAGACAATTTCGTGGCATTGGAAGTCGCTCTGCGACTACTGCGAAATCTCTTCACTCTTTCCCCTTCGAAGGGCGAGTCTAAGTGACAGTAAATCGTATATCGTGATAGTCTAGTAAGTTTCTAGTCCAAAGGTTTGACCGTCATCACAAGTAAGGGGAATATAGGTGATGGTCAATACGTTAGATTCCCCAGCACAGAGACCAGATTGCGTCCTCATGGCGCCTGAATCGATTTGGTTCAGTCTTGTTCGGTAGAGGCTTACCGCCCTCTTTCCCGATTGCTGTGGGCAAGGCCACACAGCTACGATGGGGGCTATCGAGGGTAAGGTCGGTCTTCTTCCCTTGTGCGTCCCAATCAGAGGGTAAAATGTCCTTGTACTTATTACTGCCCTGGCCTCGGGATCACAGTCCTCCGACAGCGTTCTAGTCTTTCGAGTCCTTCGAGTTCTGAGATGTTGGAACTCGTCTGTTGCTTGAAAGATGGCCATCGGAGCCTTAGATTGTCTAGAATGACTTCACCCACCGGCCCCCGGGTAGATCGATGACGGCATTATCTGCCGGCGCTGTACGTGCTCGAGTGGTGGGTGTCGAGGCTCGAGGTCATCCTCTTCTGTCTACAGAATGGCAAAGTTGTGTACTAAAACTTGTAATAACACATTTTTCAAGGCGATTGTGTCGTTTACACTCGGATGAGAGTATGGAATTGTCTGCACTGCTTGCTTGTTCCTGCTTATTTCCACAAGATCTTACTCCACTCACTCACGAGATGGTCGAACCAATCGATCGATGAAGTTTGGAAAGGCCTCCAGGATTCGTATAATGATGTCGCTTCTTTCGACGATCCGTTTTTTCATAACAGCCCTTTGGATACGTCAAGATATGAAAGTCACCCCGTGGACAAAATCGTCTCAAAGCTTCGAAAAGGTGTCGAGAGTTCAGAGAGTACGTACCGTTGGACGGACTGTCTCGTCGTGCGGGGAATCCTCCTCAGAATCAGCGGGTCTAGATTCTCAGCTTCAACCGCACGCTGAGAATAATTATTGTCACCTTGCATCATGGATGGACATTTCCTGAAAATAATTTCCTGCACATCCGACTCCCGAGGAGATGTCATCTACCCGCTAAGATTTCCAGATTCGAGGACAGCCATGGAGGAGTTTGCCCTCGTGAAATCGACATGTAAAGAATGTCCAGATGCAGCTCGTCACAGATCCATTCATAAGGTTCAATCTGAGGTCGTGTTTGCGTCGGAAGAGCCGGGTGATCAGGCTGAACTGTAGAGTCCGGTCTCACAAATGGAGGACAAGGGGTCGACTGTGCGACGACCCACGTTCCAAGATGTGTGGGGATTCCCTGTGGGAGATTCGCCGATGATGCACGCCGAACATAGTCATATTATGACCATCATCAAGACCCGACAGATCGAGCGAGGGAGGGGAGCCACTGTAAAACCGAGGGGCCGTCGTCACATGGAGGAGTCGAGGAATGACTGAAAAGTTCAGATGGTTTCGGATAATGAGAATTATTGATCGAACGATGGTGGGGCGCTTTGATTCGAAGACTCTGTTGCGTACGTGCATTTGTATGTAGTTCACACGCTGATCGGTAATCGTCGAGACGACGGACAGCATTCGCAGAATCCTGACGTGAAGAATGTATGAATGAATGCATCAGGTGTAACTTGAGTGATAAGATCGAAGAAGAATGGCATTGGTTGTGCTTGCAGAACTTCCTCCGAAGATCGCAGTGGTGGACTTTGAACGAATCTAGTTGTGCTTTAGCATGCACAACCCAACAAGATCAGCTTATCATCATAAAAACTGGACGTTTGTTTCCATGGCTGGGAGAATCTGATGAAAGCATTCGGAATCAGTCATGTGCACCAGACTAGTTTCAGACCGTCCTGTGATGAACTGAATTTCACATAATTTCTCAATTGTCCAGACAGACAGACGTCGAGAATGAAAGACAAAACAAATGTGGGCCCATTGTACAATCTGAAGAGAAACTCTCCGAAATCCTGAATCGAGAGGATCGTTCGCTCGTACGCTCGCCCTGTCGCGTCGAGTCCCGGTCTTAAAAAGAACCGATAGAAGGTCGCGGGCCAACAACGGCGTACAGGTGTGCCGCTGCTTGCATGAAATCTGAGGGTTTTACGTTGTGAGGCCTGACGGGCAGAAAAATATTCGGCACATTTTGCTGTCCCAGCAGAGGACGATGCTCAAAGCTTGCCGGGTTCCAACTATGGCAGCAAGAGGAGGACTGCGATGAGCAGCCCTCGGACGTGACCGCTCGTCGCGGTTCTCGATGCATGCCTCGTCGGTCCAGAAGGTGACAAGAAGGTGTTGACGGCTTCAGCTGCGGCACGATCTATGTCGATGCTCTCTCGAACCGACTGTCGGCAATTCCGTGATATAAATTTGGGCATAGCAGCCAACAAACAGAGGCAGAATAGATTACAAGATCTTCGTGACCAAATTCTCCCCCTGATCTTTTTTGTTCTCGAACGAAAGGACATTTCCGTGAAGAGCGAGGGTTCAGGACTCATGTCCGACGCGTCGCCGATACGAGAGACGAGGGGATGGATAATCCTTCGTTTATGTGGTATTCAAAAACATTTACATAATTTACTGAATGAGACGAGGTAACAATAGTCCCCTTGCACTCCGACTCACGAATCAGTGGATCGAAGGAAGGGCCCCAATGAGAATGTACACCGGAATCGAATTATGGCAGCTACTTCCCCGAATCTGTCTACAATTTTCTGATCTCCACTCCACTCAAAACCGCACTGGCAGGCGACTCGGCGGGTCGGCCGCAGACGGCAAGCGCCCCGGAGGGCAACTACTGATCCGCACAACAAAACTATGGCGGGGCACGCAACCCACTTTATTCAAAATTATCAGAATGTCTGGCTTCGACCTGGAGCGCGAGGCAATCTCTGGATCATGGATGGGAGCGGCGCCCGGGCCCAACACGGATGGCAAGCTTATTCAGAGCGCTGCGCTTACCGGTACTCTTCCTCGAGGTTCCGGAAGGCGGCGACCATGTCGTTGAACAAGGTCTTGAAGGTGCCGGTGAGCGCGTCCTCGCCGTCGGCGGGGTCCTCGAACTTCTGCGAGGCGAGGCGGTAGATGATGTCGCCCAGCCGCTGCTTGATGATGTTGTAAGTGACCTTCTGGCCGTCGGGGCCGGCCGCGCGCTCCACGGCCTGCAGCGCCAGCGTGCCGAAGTGGATCATGTTGCGCATCATCCACACGGACTTGTAGAAGGGGCAGAACTTGTCGTAGGGCGTGAAGGCGTTCTGCGCCAGGTAGTCCTCGCGCAGCAGCTTGGCCACCTCGAGCGTGATCTTGTCCGACTCGGCCAGCGCATCCTTGCCCACCAGCTGCACGATTTCGTTCAGATCGTCCTCGCGCTGCAGAATCTCGCGGGCCTTCGTTCGGATGGAGATGAAATCTGGGTCGAATCCTTCGTAGAATCCCGTGAGCGAATTTGTGTACTTGGAGTAGGAGATGAGCCAATTCACCGACGGGAAGTGCTTGCGCTGCGCCAGCTTCTTGTCGAGCCCCCAGAACACCTGCACGATACCGAGGGTGGCCGCCGTGACTGGGTCGGAGAAGTCTCCTCCGGGCGGCGACACGGCGCCGACGATGGTGACACTGCCGGTCCTGTCGGGGCTCCCGAGGCACTTGACCTTACCGGCGCGCTCGTAGAAGGAGGCCAGGCGCGCGGCCAGGTAGGCCGGGTAGCCGGAGTCGGCCGGCATCTCGGCGAGCCGGCCGGAGATCTCTCGCAGCGCCTCGGCCCACCGCGAGGTGGAGTCGGCCATCATGCTCACGTTGTAGCCCATGTCGCGGAAGTACTCGGCCAGCGTGATGCCGGTGTAGATGGAGGCCTCACGCGCGGCCACGGGCATGTTGGAGGTGTTGGCGACCAACGTGGTACGCTTCATGACGGACTCCTCGCGGCCGTCGGGCAGCGTCATGGTCAACTGCGGGAAGTCCATGAGCACCTCCGCCATCTCGTTACCACGCTCGCCGCACCCGACGTACACGACGCCGTGCGAGTTCGAGTACTTGGACAGCGCCTGACTGATGACCGTCTTGCCGCACCCGAAGGCGCCAGGGATGGCGCAGGTGCCCCCGAGCACGGACGGGAAGAGCGCGTCCAGCACGCGCTGCCCGGTCAGCAGCGGCGTATCGGCGGGCAGCTTCGTGGCGGACGGTCTGGGCGTGCGCACCGGCCACGTCTGCAGCATGGTGAACTTCTTCTTGCGCCCGTTGAACTCGAGCTCGAGGATCTCGTCCGTGATCGAGTACTGGCCGGGGGGCGCCACGTAGGTGACCGTGCCCATGGCGCCGGGCACGACGCCGATGTGGTGCTCGATGAGCGAGTTCTCGAACACCGTACCGTAGAGATCGCCGCCCGTCACATTGTCGCCGGTGTCGATGTGGCGGGGGGTCCATTCCCAGAGCTTGGATCGGTCGAGCGCCGGCACTGCCACGCCCCTGGGGATGTAGACGTCCTTGCACATGCGCGCGATGGCCTTGAGCGGGCGCTGGATCCCGTCGAAGATGTTCTCGAGAATGCCCGGACCGAGCTCGACCGACAACGGCTTGCGCGTGCGCAGCACCGGGTCGTTCACCATGAGCCCGGCCGTCTCCTCGTACACCTGGATGGTGGCCGAGTCGCCCTCGAGCCGGATGATCTCGCCGATCAGCTTGTCGTGCCCCACTCGCACCAGCTCGTACATGGCTGCGCCCCCCATGCCCTCAGCCACCACCACGGGGCCCGACACCTTGCGCACCCATCCGTAATCGTTCTCATCCTCCTGGTCCTCGAAGGTCACCAATCGGTCCCCCGTCACGGCAGGCATGGCTGATTGCTCGCTTGCCCGCCCGCTCGCTCACTCGATCGATCGATCGATTCCGACTCGCGCTCGGCTGCTCGCAGTCAGTCGATCGGTCAAGTCAGTCCCTGGCTCGCTCACTCGCTGCTCGCCGCTCGCCGCTCGCTGCCTGTGATTGATTGAGAGTCCCGGGAGCTCCCCCTTCTAAAGCCTCAGGAAATGAGCCCCTGCTATGAGCCCCCAACGCTTCAGAATGGAGCTCTTTTGCCTGTGAGGAGACACACACTGTGGACAGATCTGAACCCCGATGCTATGGCGAGGAGATGTTCGGCAAATGCTGGCCCACGGACCCAACCCTGACCGGGGGTTGTGTCTCCGCGGATTCTGTGTCTACATATTCCGGCGTTTCGATGTTGTCCTGGGTTTCTTTGGTTGGCCGCGCGACTATTCATTGCGCAGTCCAAGGCGAGGGAAATAAGGGCACAAATAATTATTCAATAAATGCTGTCACGGCCTCCGCTCCTCTTATATGCCCCTCTCCTCGCCACTCCCTCCCTGACAGATGAGAACCTCGGATCGCCGGGCTCCTCGAGCAGCCAGCCACCGAGCGAGGGAGCGCGAGCGGGCCAGCAAGCGAGCGTGGTAGGTCTTCGTCGTCGTCGCTCCCATCCCCTCGTGCGCTGCTGCTTGATCCATCGCCCCCCACAGCCATGAGCGAGCTAGTGGAGAAGGATGTGAGGCTCTGTTCATGACTGCATGCCTTGACAGGAAGCCGACAGAAGTGTACAGTCTCGTTCATGCTTGTGATGGGAGACCTCGGCACCTTACACCGACTCTGACCCGATCTGGAGAGCGGGTTGCATAGATTTCGTTCGCTCCAGGGTTGTAGAACGATCGTGACATGACTCCCCTTCCCACATACCCTTGCGTCGTCTGCCGGACAGGTCCATGACTCCTCGTACAACTGAAGCTGAACTTCGTTCTATAACAGAGCTTCGATCCTGGCTAGCCCGTCAGAGCTTTTCGATGTCGGACTTCCTGGGTGCGAACATTTAACACTTACCGAGTCTGCACGAGGAACGAGAGTCACAGCAAGCGACTGACTTCGAGGTCCTTCTCGCACATCTCGTACTCGTGCTGGAGGAGCTAAAACCTTCAGTTTCTCAGATGGATTTTCAGTGAGCGTCTTCTGAGAGTCCTCGGTGGTGTTGCATGTGATCTGATACAGATCAGAATCTACGTTGCAGTCCTGGAAAGCGCCAAGACAAAGAAGAGTGTAAATAAAGTAAATGACGGATCTAGAATTTTGGTTGTCTGTACTCTTGGAGATCATGTTGCAGATCTGAAAGTATTCTTAAAGTTGGTAGGATCTAAGTCGGCCTAATACTCATCCAAATTTTTCCTACTCTAATCAGTAGACATCGGGAATCTTCGTCGAAACCTGAATTCGACGAGTTTTTCAGTGATGTGATTCAGGCTGTGGCCATTTCTTTTTAGTCTACGCAACATATTTCATTTTTTAACTCTTTGTTCACGGGATTGTCCACAACTATTGTCTTTTTTGAACAGCTGCACGAGCTCATCTGGACGTGAGGGGCGAACCTTGATGAGCCGCGAGGAGGTGCCTGTGCACAACTTACAGACCTGGAAAATGAGGTGCATTGTGAAGATCCAGAAGCAGCTGTGAAAATGAGCACATTTCATATGATCTTGGAACATGAGTTGGCGTGAAGTCCAGGCTGCTAGCACGTTTCATGAGATTGGAGTGAGTTCACTTTGACAGCTACTTCTAGACCCACTCTTCGTCATATAGCTCTTGCATTCGATGCATCTAGCTCCAGCAGTTGTTGAATACGCCGCACCTTGAATATCGAGCAAGAAAGCGATTAGAGCCAATTTGCTTTATCTACTAGAAATGATCCTTATTCAAGCCATCATGAACTAACCGTTCTGGTGCATGATGCATCTCGAATGAAAGGAAAATCAAATCAGGACCTCTCCCCACCTCTGACTCGAAAGCGCGTAAGAATCACTAGCTAAACATACAGCTTCAGCTTCTATCACTGGACGAACTGAATTGACCAGATAATTATAGACAGCTTTACGACGGGGATAAAAATATCCTAGGCTATCAGTCACAGTAATTTTATGCATGTTTGCAGCAGATTCTCATCTCAGGCAAATGCACCGCAAAGGAAGCATTTTAACAGTCCTCAATGGGCTGCTTCTAGTCTGCCTTACAGATGTCAACCTCATTTGGAACAGAGACCTAACTATAAGGACATCAAATGAGATAGGACACGACGGTTGAGAGACCGTAGACTTCGTATGGTAGAGCTCATTTGACAGTCATTTCTAGACCCTGCTCTCGTATACTTTCGAGTTCACAACGAGAAGTGGAATCGAAGCAGATGTTCGATGGTCTGCGAATTCCCCGGCTATAAGAAATTGAGCCAGTTTTGAGAAGCAAATTTACCCCTTTATATGTCGTAGTTGACCAGGACTGGCCTCAGAATGAGCTTTATTGCCACACACACAGTGAGATGGAACTTCATCATCCGCAAAGACATCAGTTTCAGATGTAGAGCAGAAATCTTCATCTTGGAGATCGAGAAAGGTGGTTTGATAAACGCTGACCACAGCGGAGCCTCAGTGCACTCAATATTACATTTGTCAAAGATGAGTTCACAGAGTGATAGACGGAGGAACTCAATCGTCAGCTTAGGATCAATTTGGAGTACATCCACTGCCCGGAACTAGATACTGTTTGATATGACATTCTGATGGGGCACACTGGACCTTTATTCTATGTATCTTGGCAACTCATACATCCATATGCAATGACCTCTGTTGTGTGGGGCAAGTGGTTGACAATATGAAAAGGTGGCAGAGAAAGCTAGTTCGGATGACAAGATATACAGACAAGTTAGAATAGTTTTGGCAAGTTAAAGATACGTCTGATGTCCGCTTTGTCCATGTTTCGGATGTGGCTCAACCGTCCAAGGAGTGAACTTTAGATTATGATCCACCAGAAAAACGACTTTGGATGTTGGATTCCGGAGGACTTCGAGCATTCCGAGGACAAGGACAGCAGCATAGAAACCTGTAAGTTCCGCTTCACGTTCTCGTTCGACAGCACGCCACCTCTTAATCTGACTATCGTTGAATACAAAATCTCTATATGTTCAGGTCTTACATCAAATTACAAATCTAGCACACCACTTCGATGTGTTCAATGACTTTTTATATGATCGCATTTGCCGTTGTGTCTCACATGCCTTTCGAGCCGACAGCTTAAACTTCAAGCCCCGCACTGAAATCACGGAAATCACCAAAAGTGTAGCAGCTAAACTGGTCGAACAGGCTGTTGGGCAGATCATATATCGCAGTGAACGTTCGGATTTGTTGTTATTGAGGACACCTTCTCTCGAGATATTAGCCATTGGCTATCCAGCGTAGTCTCGATTTCAGAGGAAAGGTTCAGTTGCACGGCACGAATGGTGAGTGATTGAGCTTGTCGTGTGATGTGGGCTGTCGTCATGGAGTAGGACGAGCAGGAGGAGGCAGGAGAGAATGTCTAAGCGAGCGGCGGCAGTCGCTGTCTGGTTGTGGTTAGTGATGATTGCGGGGGTGTGTAAGAAGGTGGGGTCGCAGATCGGGGAAGAGTCGTCGACATCGACGATGGGCGACGAGCATTGTCTGTACGAGAAGAAGGAGTCGTGCGTGAAGGCCGAGGAGGCGGGCTGCATCTGGTGCGATCTGCCTCGACGATGCTACTCGGCAGCTCGTTCGCTGGAGCTCGGCGAGTTCTGCAGCCGCAAGAAGGTGAAGCCCTTCGTCGATGTCCCCACGTGCGACGAGATCGTCCAGCGGCAGAACTGCAGCGGCGAAGTGAATTGTCGATGGTGCAAAAGTCAGGCTCTGGACGACGGCTGCTTCGGTGCCATCGAGGCTGCGCGACTCCCGAAGCACATCTTCGTTTGTCCTGCCACCTCTTCGGGCTCTGCCATTTCAACCGCAATAGGAATCTAAAAGGCTCAGACGTCCTTCCTCCTCCTCCTCCTCCTCTGAATTTGAGGGTTATAATCCTCAAAACCTCTGGGTTTGCTCGAAGGGTTTGAGGATTATAACCTCACAAACAGTGACATTTTTCTGGCACAACTCACAATTCGCACTTTCTTCCACCGTTCCCTTTCGAGCTAAGATTTGGAGGGGTAGGAAAAAGCGATCGATCCATCCATCGAGTCGAAGAAATGACAATTACTCTGCTGCAGATTAGCTGCCCTCCCTGAGTATCAGTAACTCATTGATTCAGATTGCCAAGTATTGACGAGTCGTCTTGAAGGTCCAAGTGCTGCAGAGGATAAAAACTTCCAAACTTGAAGCTCTCGTACGATCCGATCCGTCTTGGACTCTCCCGCTTGCGAGACATGCAAGACAGATGATGGCGATGGTGTAATGTTCGGCCGGTCAAGAAAAGGTCGACTATCTTATCATTGATGCTGCTGTCACTGTCACATATCACTGCATGATGCAAGAGAGCCTGCTCCCGTGCATCTGTCACCAGTTGTTACACATCCAAATGCGAGGTTGAACTCAATCGAGCGATGAGGGATAATAATCGAGGAGCTGTAGCTAGAGGCTTCATTCCTTAGAAAACCGTTTACAGCCATGTCAGCTTTTCCAGAACTTTCATCTCGTAGACATTGCTAACATTGGCAAGATACTCTGCCACTTACTCAAAATCCAGTCATCAGATAAATGCCTCACACATTCGAAGGTAGTTTCTATTATACGATCAGAGTAAGAAACTTCGTTACGAGTAGGATTTCGTTTCAACTCGCAGCTGTCGTATCAGAGCTCTCCAAAAAAAAGCACGAGCATTGAATCACCACATCGTTCTACTTCTTTGAATTGTGCCAAATTACATTCCTCAAATCCCAACGTTAAGCCTCGACGTGCAGCTGAACGCAGACGAGATCCCCTACTCGTATGGTGACTAACAGCATCTTCCTTTGTCCTGGACCACGAATACCATCGACTGTGAACAGGACGTGGTTGTCGTCATGGCAGATTCATGCAAAAGTGCAAATTAGGGCCGGATTTCGACATGGCAGAGCACGAGAACGCAAACTGATGGGATCGAACGCGGCGACAAAATCCACCGACAAGGAGACAGAAAACAAATGCCGACAAAGGACGAAGATCTCCAAGGGAAAGTAAAGTGGAGAGCGCCAGTCCACGCGGTGACGTAAGCTCGAAGCCACCTCTCCAAGGCTCCTTACGGTAACGCAGTGCGCAGTCCGGTCGCCGAAACTGAACTGCGCAGTACAGGAGAGCTTGTCTGGAGACGAGCCTCGGGCGCGAGTCGAGTTCGTTCCAACTGCCACTTGGGCGTCCGACTTCGTCGATGCGCGGTCACGTGCCCCGTCATCTCCCCGCGTGTCGGTACATGTTTGGCAGATCGGACGAGAGGATTTCATTACTTCCACAGTACAGAACGCGAACTCGTGAAAGCGCTAACGGTCGAACGCTGAGCTCGCTGGGCTTGAATTCAACCATTTCTCACAAGCTCAAGGAACTCCAATGGAGAGAACCCGCCAGACGTTGGGCTCAACTGGCGTTATCCTGCACACACCGAGGGCCAGTCAGCATTCTAGTGCGCCATTCTCCTCAATACAGTCGACGCGAAGTGAAACTCCTGTAAGTGCGATCACTCATGAATAGTGCAACCGAGTTTGCTTGTTATTACGGAAAGTGGACATGTTAATTCAAAAGTGCAGATTTTTCGCAACTGCAACTGGCATACTACAACTGAAGTCATTTAAGACAACTTACCTAATGCAAAGCCTTTTGTAATTGCAATCAAAATACAAATGCATTCGAAAACTTATTAGTGAATCCTCAAAATAGAGAAGTAGAAACCACTAGGCCTTCTTTGGGCACATTAACCACATACTACACTTTAATCATCATTATTTACAAAGAACGTGAGATATGTATAATGCTAATAGAATAAAAAAGAAAATACCATCAGCTGATTTCCACATTTGATTCAATTTTCAAGTCATAAGAATTGTGATTTATTATTTGTGAAAAATATTTATCTCAATTATGATTTTTTATTTAAAAAATTATCGTAATATGTACATAGTACGTATGTATCTTATGTACAACTAAAAATCACAAGTAAGATATGCTAGACGACAACAACGTTGCATTGTTTCAATTTGGTTGCAATCAAACAAGATCTAACTTTGCAAGTTTGTGTGGTTTCATATATCATGTTAATTTTGTGAACTAGACGTATTTTTGATAATAGTTTATTTGAAAATACATCTATATACTTCATCATTTATTGTGAATGTATTCTTTACTGATCAATTGTTTTTTAATTTGATCTTTTAAGTTTCGTTTAAACGCATTTAAAGTAAATTTATGTTATATATATGCGACAATTCATACAACAATTACCTTGTATAAATGATATGATAAATATCCAAACTTTTAACTAAAACTTTATAAAAGTTGTACTTGTTTTCATAAGAACTCTAAAATATTATTTACCATAATTTCACACAAGAAAATCTTTCCATATTTTTTTACGTTTAAAATATTATTTTAATTTTTACATACGTGTAGATTTGAATTGTGGCAATTGATTTGCAATTTGAATCCATCAAAAATTTAATAAAAAATATAGACAATATAATCTAAAAGATCAAACCGGAATCTAGTGCCCTTGAAACAAATGCAAACAAATAAAATTCTAAACTAGCTTTTTGGAACATCCGCAACGACTTAGAGTCAAAAAATTTATACATAATTTTTTTTCTCTTTTTATGTTTTACATATCTTTCAAAAAAATAAAAATTTGGAAGCACTAATGACACTCTTGATTTCATTGCTTAAGTCCATAGATTTGCATTCAAGTAAACCACAATGAACATACAAAAATTTTATGTCACCATGCAACAAAGATGAATATCAAATGGATTGAAAATTACAATATTTTATGAAGCAATTTCATATTAATAAAAAAATCATAATTTTTTGTTCACTCTCTATATGTATGATCAATGATATATACAAATTTATATATATTTTCAAGACTACGCTCTATCATCACTTTTTTGCTATTCCATAAAGAGTACTTAACATTCAGGGCAAAAGTAAGTAGTTTTGATATAATTGTAATATTATGGTTTAAGAGTTAAATTCACTTAAAGATGAAACATGAACTCTAAAAATGAACGATACAGAAGATGCTTGTACTTTTTCATATATAGATCTTATCGATAAATACAAGGAGATAAAATTTCACTTTTATCATCCATTTTATTTCTAGTGGATTGATAAAATGACGGATAACGCTAATACCATACAAAGTGCTGACATATTGTTCTCAATTAACACCTTCAATTCTCACAATCACAAAGTATGATTGAAGTGTAATATTCAATTAACACAACAAATATAATTTGTTTATGTGACGATTATAACTAATACACTACAATATACATATATCTATGATTTCAAATACCATCTACATTAATTCCAATTAATTAGAGACTGTTAAAAAAACACATACAATATATATTAAAAAAATTAAACTCAATCTAATAATCAACATTTTATTTAAGAATATTGAAGTTAACATGAATTTATTATCTTGATGGATTTTGGTCCAATGTAGGAAAAATTGTGTCAAAAGCAATTGTTGAATTATGTCAATGTATTAAAATAGTGAATTTATGTGTAGCATAGACAAATTGCTTTACATCGTACATCCCAAAACAACATTCTTTTAATCATGTATAATTTGTAATTTTTGACTCTCAAAGGTATTGATTTGTTTATTTGTGCACACAAAAAATTTAAAAATTATAATATATGTCAATTTATTTCTCACAATTTATATTTAAGTACAAGAAAGAAATTACTCAAAAGAGGAAACATAATTATTAATATGAAAAAATATTATATATATATGTTACTTAAATAAAAATTAGTATTTCATTCCTAGTAAATAGATGATATGTTACTAACAAATACGTGTATAGTTGAAATAAAAACTATGTATTTAAGTTCTAGCCAACTACATATGGCATGCAAAAATAAATCCAACTGTTGCACATTTTGTAAGAAGGTTCGTCTCAATTGATCACATGCGTCCCTTCCACAAATCTTTCAACAAGTGGTGATTGGTGAAGAATGGGATAGGTTGCTTCGAGGAAAAAAAACACCCCATCTTTCATAAGATAAAGTTTATAACCATTTGTTGTTTGTTTTTCTCCGACGATACAGTCTTAAAAGCTCTATGCAATGTGGAAGTCCAATGGATGGTCCATGTACTAATCATCTTCTAGGTCACTATAGTCTCCCCTAATGCATGCACCCACGACTATGCGTCTCCAGAATCGAGATGATTCGGCTTCCGTCGTATCTCTTCACACAATTATGTATATACATTGCATGAACTCCACATGAGAACTGACGCATCCGATGAAGCAATCTAGCTAACTCTTCCTCTTAACAAGTAGACAACACGATGAGAGATGGATATGTCATGTCACCTTGCCGGATAATGGATGCATTGCAAACGGAGCAAAGTGCCATGCATGAAGTAGGAAATATACAGTACAGTACAAGATGGAAAACCCCATCAATCCGTACGGATGGAGAAACTTAGACTAGGCAGGCATGCAGGATGTGATGTGTCACCGCGATCCAAGCACCTGCAAGTAGTGATCATGTGGCTGAATCACAGGGCGTAGAAGATGCTCGATGCCTTAGCTAGCCGGGAGGTATATACGGGCACAGTATTTCCCGGTTCGTTGCACCTGGACAACATATCCAAAGTTGACTTTGTACTAAGAAAAGTAATGGAATCCTGCCACCCTAGTCATGTCATGGGCAGTCAATTTGAAGATGCAAAGTGGAAAGTGCTTGAATCCCATATTCTGTATATCCTACCGTAGGTGTAATCTTATGGCCCAAAGCTGCTGTGCCTTAAAAAGTAGGGGTTTATTTTTTCTCACACCGGATCACATTGTCCACGATTCAGCTCTTGCTGACACCAAAAGGTGTAGTAGTGACCTGGCATCTTCCCAGTGAACTGGCAAATTCAGTCTGCGGAGGACTTGAGTTTTGTATTCAATATTTCGAACAAAGACAAGAATAAACTGAGCGGATAAGAGAAATCACAATGGCATCCTTCTCCCTGTGACGTACAGTAGTAGTAAAGTAGTGGTACAGTTTTGATGACACTTGGGAAACAGGAGAATCGGGACGAGATTTGTTTGTATTTCGGAGCTCATGCACCTTGCAAAGACTATCTATAGAGCAATTCTTCCCACAAGTGTAATGCCACCACACCAAGGAAGCTTCAAGGGTCTGCTTTGGTTATGTGCACATTTTAAGATGATTGTAGTGTGCCTGGGCATAACGTGAATGCGCATGATTAGTGTAAATGTGAAGATCGCCTTCATGTAAAAAAAAAACGCGGGCAACAAAATAAACGTTCAGGGATCAGATGTTCATTTCAATCCAAAGACTGACCAAACTAAACACTGGGGAGGAAATAACCAAAAACGTACAGGTACAACAGTATTTTGTATTTATTTCGTTCTCCTTTTCCTTTCTCCCTCTTCGGTCTCGTTATATAGCATAACCTGTAACGAGGGAGCATTTGGAGAAAAGAGAAAGTACAGAGACATGGAATGGGCGTCGAAAGCGAGTATGAATATGTTGAGGAAAAAGGAGAAAGTTTGCAGAGAAAGTTGGTGGAGTATTCCGGAGTCTCCTGGAACCAATGATTATTAAAAGATACCGGGTTGTAGTGGTTGGGTTGCAGCAAAGAAAGAAAAGATGGAGGTGTCTGTCTCTGCTATGACGCTGTCTGGAGGCTGAACTCTGTTGCTAATCAGCAACTCCCAAGTCCATTTTCCCTCACCCTCCAAAGTGCCAGTTTCGTGGTTTCCTTAGATTACACGATTCCTCTCGGACGTAGTATTTTAATGGTTTCCCAATGCCACTCCCATTCCTCACTACGCAGTTGCAGTTTCGTGCTGTCATTGAGTTCCACAGGTATCAGCTTTTGATGAGAAAAAAGGACACAGTGTACCTCCACAAGCAAATCCGTTCAACGAATGCCTTATTAACGCCTGTCATTGTTTGGTGAGCTGGACCTTTCTGGGGCGGGTGATCTCTTAAGGGAAATCGTCGTGTAAGGATGTTTGTCCTGAAGAAGCAGCGGGTAAGAACAGCGGTAAGTGGAAATATCACATACCAGACCGTCAGCCAGGGCTGTCTTAGAAACGCTGGGACAAATCTATCCTCGTGACTCAACGAAGTCCTAAGGTTTGCATGACTCGGAGTGAGGATGATGAGCTATGAGCTAATGAGGACGCAGTAGAATAACCAAAAGGATGGATGGGAAGGCCCATGTGTCGGAGCTACCAGCCGGGTCCTAGGTGTCGCTTCTCGACAATCCTGTCCTCGGGAGGAGCTGCATCCGGTGCACTGTGTACCGGGCGACTCTGTCCCGTGAGTCCATTGAAGCCAGAAGGTTCTTGAGATCGCAGAGGTCTCAGAGCAGGCGATGCTTAGGACAAGGTGAACTGCGTTGACGTCTACCCGGTCAACGCTTTTACTTCCCAAGATTCTACCGAACAATCCGAACTGCAGTCGACTCTCCGTGAGTTCAAAGCCTTGGGACTACCATCCCTTGCTTGCTGCACTTTTCTGAAAAGGGTTCGTCATTCATGTAGGATTTGTATGAAAATTGCAAACTTAACTGAGAATTGCAACCACAAGCATAACGCAGAGATAGCCTCTTGTTAGCCACTTCGTACTTTGTATACTGAAATGCACTTGCAGTTAGTGAGTATGGAGATATAAAAATAAATAAATAAATATGGGGAATATGGCTAAATTGCAATTAGTCTGGTGTATTATTTGGAGCACATTACACTTCTTGAGTTTGTACACTACAATGCAACCTTTTGACATCAAGCTCTTAATCATACGAGAACTCTTTAGTGTTTTTTTTTTGCCAACATCATAGTCTAAATTTCCTTTTAGTGGATCCAAGCACTCTCTCGTCGTACACAAAAAACGGTCAGATCCATGCGATTTTGTCTTAACTATGCATCAGGACTTCCAAACTCTGAAGTTCCGGCTGGATTGATCAACTTATCCCTATTTTCATTTGCTCACATGTGGGTGTTTCATGAAAATGTAGCAGTTGTGCACATGACTTGATACTATTTCGGAGTATGAATTCATGTCATCAGATATATTTGTGATGACGCATGAGAATGTACACCTCATTTAAAGAGAGTGTTGGCATGCATTGCAATTGATTGAACTGGCAAGGACATATCTAAAGTTGAATTGAATGTATCAATTTAAAATTGCATACTTGATAGCTATCAATCTTACATATGACATGGTTTCACATGGATGATTACAGAGCTTCATGTATGGGTGCTAAATGTGGCAGCATCAACCAACTTCTTCAAGTGTAGGGATGTACGGAGCTATGGATGGTACATTTGACAAGCTCTTAAACGACTGCTTAAGAATGTAGCATATTAATCGGTTACATATCACTTTATCTACAGTATAATGTAACGGACATTGTGCAGCTTGTTTCCATTGTTTTATAGTGGAATTTAATCTAAGTTCGGGATATGATCTACGTGAAGAACACTAGCTACTTCTCTTCACAAAATGATACTCACATTAAATTTTATGACATGTTGTATGAAATCATTTGATATTGAAAAATTTGAATGTGTAGATGTGGTAGGTGATAGCTCTCATTATGATACTACTAGGCCTAGCCTCTAGTTTACAGTCGAGTTTCATCATTGTAAGGCTTTATGGATCTTTACATTTTTTTTAACTGTCCACTTGGTCCACCTTCGCTATTCGCTCAAAATCAGAAGTCCTTCCACTCTTTTCAGAAATGGTGGAAAGCCATCTGCATCTCAAGCATGTCAATTAACTCGCTGTCAAGCAGTAAACACAATGAGTCACATATGAACATTGCGGTATGGCTGGCTCAGACAAAACCAGCTCACCTATCATAAAAACCGGTCTTCCCTCCGTGCAGAAAACCAGGGAAAAATGTATATTCCATTATCGTAATTTACATCGATTTACATCTTGAGCTCCGTGTAATAAAATGTGAGAAGAACACCCTCGTATTTGTACGATAATGTATACAAGAGGTATAGAATTTATAGAACAATCGAAGCAGGTAGAGTTATCAATTCATTTAGGGGATTGATAACTCTACCTGCTTCGATTGTTCTATAGATTCCTTTCTTATTTACAACAATAGTTCATACCATACGTGATTTAGATTGGTTGTGGACAATGTTACGTACACAGATATGATGATCAAATGGTAATCTTTTTATATTCCGATCCGATCATTTCGGTATTTTCGTTTCGTTTCTGCTGCATTGGGTCTTTGCACTTGGTTTCTGATTACTTGGTCCCCGCAGGACTTCGGAGGGCAGGAAACAGGTGAGGAGGGTGTGATTGGAGATGATGAGAGTAGCCGATGATCGGGCACGAGAAAAAAACGACAGACCGTACAGAACGAGCCGTCGACGAAGCATCCCGAACGGGACGGGAAATGCCGGGCAAGGATGACGGGGCAGGGGTGAGGCACGGGGCCGGCCCGGGTGGAGAGGAAACGGGTGACGCCGATGGGGCGGGGAGAGGAGCCCGGCAGCAGCATGACCCAGGGGGGTGTAAAAGGAAGGCGCTGGCCGAGGGGTCTTCATTCATCGAGCCGGGTCAGAACATTCCACTTGTACACTGCGGAATCGAGCACATTTACAGACGAGCAAGATGGCGTTGAAGCTCGGAGATCTGGCGCCTTCGTTCGTGGCCGAGACGACACAGGGCGAGATCGATTTCCACAAGTACATCGACGGATCGTGGGCGATTCTGTTCTCGCACCCGAATGACTTCACGCCCGTGTGCACGACCGAGCTGGGCGCCGTGGGCAAGTTCATGCCCGAGTTCGAGAAGCGCGGCGTGAAGGTGCTGGCGCTGAGCTGCAACGACGTGGAGTCGCACAAGGCCTGGATCAAGGACATCGAGAGCTTCACCCCCGAGGCGCAGGTCTCGTACCCCATCATCTCGGACCCCAAGCGAGACTTGGCCGTGCAGTTCGGCATGCTGGACCCCGACGAGCAGGACGCGGCCGGCATCCCCCTCACCGCTCGTGCCGTCTACGTCTTCGGCCCCGACAAGAAGCTGAAGCTGTCCATCCTCTACCCGGCCACCACCGGGCGCAATTTCCACGAGGTGCTGCGCGTGATCGACTCGCTGCAGCTCACCGCCAACCACAGCGTGGCCACTCCCGTCAATTGGAACGCCGGCGACAAGTGCATGGTCGTGCCCGGGCTCTCGAACGAGGCGGCCGCTGCCAAGTTCCCCAAGGGCTTCGAGACCATCGAGGTCCCGTCGGGCAAGCAGTACATTCGCCTGACTCCCCAGCCCAACATCTGAAGCGGCGCTGCACGAATCACAGCGTTCTCGGGAGGCGCTGTGGAGCCAGGGGGAGTTCGCCCGCCCGAGCGTTTCTTGGACGTGGCTGGCATCGCGATCTTTCACAGCGTGATCTTTGTAAGTACGTAGGAACCCCGACGGTCACAGGAACCTGGAAGCAGCTGACAGCGATCCCCTGCCGAAGGTCCGTCCTGCTGCTGGAGATCTTTAGCATCCGCGTATAGGGCTAGCTAACGCTAGTCGGCATTCTCCGGCGCATGAGCTTCACTCTGAGTCCATCCTCCACGGTGCCTTTCTGAGTTTTGTACAGATACTGCTCGTTGCGCTGATTCCCTTTTTACCCAAGGAGAGGTCTGGGTACTTACTGCACACGAGTGTAAGTGCTCAGCCTCGCTGTCAACTTTCGAGCTTCCTCATGCGCACTCACAGCTCTACACAGAGAGAAACTTTCCTGTATTCCTTTTTATAGTAATCAAGATGTAAACAACGAAGGACCCTCTCGCGTGACTGGGGTGTATCTCTTGCAATTTCTTTCTCGCACAAGCGCAGCTGATGTCGATGCTTTCTTGTGCGGTCATGATTCGGCTTTGGATTTGGATGGGGAACAGTTTGTCCTGATCGCTCAATTATGGCATACATCTTGTAGGCTGGGGTTTACCTTGCCCGAATGTAGTCATTAAAATCTAAACCTGGTTGCTGATTTCTGGGTACTTTTCTTAGAGATGGTAATGCAGTGATCACTCCTGTGAGAAGGGTCGTCTTTCTTTGTGCACCTGAATTGTCGACTCGCTGCTTGCATTTTACTACGTGTGAGATTGTTCGTGGATGGTATCGTGACATGCCGACGTTTTGAAATATGAGGCTAGAGGCAACGTATGGTTGCAGATTTGGAGAGGGACAAATTTCTCTTAGCTTCCTGAGTTCCTGTTGTCCTCTTATTAAGGCCTCGACCCATCAGTGAGACAGGGCGGTGGCGCTACTGCAAGCGGCTTCGATGTATCGACACCGTCCTTGTGAAGGCCTGGTGAGACTTTGAAGCCTAGAAAAATATTACATTGCCACTCCTCATGCAGGAACATCTGACATCACTTGATTTCAGTGTCCAGGTTTCTGCCAACGTGTGAATTTTAGAGCGGATATGTCTTCGAGGAGTGTAGTGAGGAGTTTGGGTGACAGTGAGTGGAGACTCATCAGCCTGAATGCATGAGCAGATGGAGCGAGGACTGGGGAGTAAAACCTTGTCAAAATAATAGTACTGCGTGCAGCACTGACTTTATTGTGTATCAAAACTGGGACAAGAATGTAACACTCAACAAACGCTAGCTCTTGGCCGAACTTGACAGTGTTTCAATGATCGTTGAAAAATTCAACTTTCCAGTATCTCACGGAGTGAACGCTTTTTCTAAAGCGTAGGGAGCCTATGAGGTATAGGCTCCTTCATCACGGGTCTATCTTTGGCAGGAAGGCCTACCATTCGTAGGTCATCCTGATTTCTACATACGCCCTTGGGGAAGAACCTTGCAAGCTCCTCAGCGCAGTCCTTCAATATCTTCTGCCGCTCTTGCTCCAGCAATGCCTCTTGTAAAGCATACTCAGCTTTCTCCTTCTTTCTCTTGGCTTTTTCTTCGGCCGCCTGCGAATGCGAGAGAAAGGAGGTAAGTGTTTAGTTCTAAAACCTAAAACCTCGACCCAGACATGACTGTGTTTACATGGCGAATGCAAAGTTATAAGGTGCTAGTCAGTTTACCTCCTTTGCGAGCAGATACTGCATCTCCTCCCACTGTGCGTCAATCTGGCGCCTGTACTCGACCTTCTTCATTCTCTGCTTGTATGCACTCATCTGATCGAACCGGTTCATCTGCAATTTTACAGCAGAATCAATCTCCTGGAAAAATTAAATGCTGGGCATTTCCGGAGATTCGGACTAACTTGAAATAGCTCCCTTATTTGCATGAGCAGTAGAGTTCAAGATGAAAGTGCCAGCCAATTTGGCCATGACTTTTGCAGATCTTTGTGTTTACCTCCATGACTTGCTCCATCATCTTCTTTGCCCATTCTGCTTTTTCTAACTTCATTTGCTCATATCGATGTTTCTTCAGAGCCCAATATTGATCACTTGCCGCCCTCATGTTAGCTTTCATGTGTTCTCTCTGCACATGTAGAATCATGACACAAAAGGTTCGTCATCTTCCAGGAGACTCTTGTAAATCAACTTGGTGCCACGTACACAGAGTTCCAACGGAAATCGGATTCGGAATCCTACGTGGATGCGCAGTGCTTCAGCCTTTTTCCGATACTCTTCCTCTGCTTGCTCGAAATAGAGGTCATTAAGCGCCTGTTCCATTTCATCCCTCTCACGCAACGCATCTTCTTGTCCTTCCATAAGCATTCCATAAATCCTTCAAAGTGGTCAAACGATTCGAATGAGTTTGTCGTTTCTGAAGGCCAACGAAAAGGAAGGAGGGTCTGGGTTGGAAAAAGAATTTCTTCGCAGAAGATAGGAATATTTGGGACAGACTGTGTATTCAAGTTCTAACTTGGAAACTGCAAGCACAAAGGACATGATTACTTGTCTTTAAATGCTTTCTGAATTCTCGCTTTCTCTTCCTGTTCTTTCATCCGCGCCTCCACTCTAGCTTGATGATCGAGGATGTCTTGATCTTCTCTTTGCCTCCGCAATTCCTGTGGTTCGAGGTTGTTTGAGTTTGAAGTGCAGCGAAGTCTGGCACTACTTCAGTGCAGCTAATTCAAACTAGCAACTCAAATTGGCGTGTCAAGAGACTGTGAAGTCCTTCCAATCGTAAGGAAGTTATGTGCAAGTGGGTTGTAATTGTGCTGCAGTACCAATCGAGGTCAAACTGGCAGTTACCAGAAGACCGAAGCGTAGTTCGTCTCCAAGAAGCGTAAACAAGCTAGAATATATGGATGTGGAAGTTTCTGTAAGAAAGGTTGAACGTACGTTCTCTCTGTCGAGCTCTTCCTTCTCCATCAGGTACTGCTTGATGTAGTCTTGTAACATGCGCACGTTATCCCTGAATCACAATGCGTTTGGGGTCACTTTTTCCTTGGAGCTGAAATTTTTACCAGGAGTATCGATAGAAGGAAGAGAAAAGTTACTGAGCTGTGCATGGTGCAAACAGCTCTTTCTCAACCATCAGATTTGGCTCATAACTTACCTCCTGATCTTTTGCTCCTGTGCTTCCTGCCTCAGCTCCTTCTCATGTACCTGAATTTAACATAATTCCAGATTTTTTTAAAATTAGACTTTTAAATCTCGCCTGTCAAAACGGCATTAACTTAGGCTAGAGTATTCGCTGGGATTACTCAGACAACCTTGCACGATAGTGGAATGCGAACTCTTACCATTTGCACCACATCTGCATCGTGTTGCTTCTCTCTAGCAGCCTTCTCGGCAGCCCACACTTTCTCTTTCATTTGTATATCTAATCTGCGTTTTGTCTCAATCTGTAGGGTGCCACATCCATGTTTGTTAGAGACTAAATACTTTGGTGTGAACTACATCCATTTGAAGTATTATTTCGTTCCTCTTTCTGGAATTGTACTGTCCAGGAAAGCCTCTGCTCTTCCTTCTGATCTCTGCAGCTGAGATCAGAAGGAAGAGCAGAGGCTTTCCAGTCAAGAAGGTGTGCCGCATTGACTAGAATCATATTTGGACGTTTTGGTAACTGCAATTAGAATAGCTCTGAGAAGGCCTATGAAGTGTACGCGTTAACTTCAAGATGTAATTCCATGCTCGTTCATCTCCTCGAATTGTACCTCTACTCTCGCACATTCTGATAACAACCGTCTGAACGAATCTGCGAATTGTGAAGAGCGTTACGAAATCAACTACGAATTGATTCACCTAAGCTCTCACCTTATCTTCCGCTATCTTGTCCAACCTTTCCTGCTCCTTTCTTGAAAGCTTATTGTAGGTTTCCATGAGGAGATCATGGAAAACGGCGTTTCTTTCCGCTTCCTTCATTTCAAAGAACTCTTTTTCTTGACTCTGGATTTTTCACGAGAGAAACAGCTCAAGCTTAAAACCTTCGCATACAGGAAGCTCTGCAGTACACTAGTCTTAGACCCTTCGTCCAGACACACTCTATACTGTTCCACATTCTCTTGTCAGAAGACGTTCAACAGTTCTTCTAATAAGTTGAGAGCTTGCGAAAATCATCTAAGAATGTCGAGTAAATTTGTATGAAACCTTGCATTTGATATTTGAAACAAAATGTAAGAAGCTCGAGTAAACACACTGTTGCACTTGAAACCTACGTAGCAGCGAATCGTTTAACGTACTTTTCAGAATAGAAGAGTATCACAGAGACTGAATAAAGGATCCAAAACCTGAGTATATCGCTCCTTATTCATCTTAGCTATCTCCAGGTATCTCTTCAGCAGCCGTATTTCTGGTGATTTCTCTTTCATGGCCTCCAAGATAAGCTTATCTCTTTGAAGCTGTCTTTTCTCTTCTTCAAGAAAATTGGCTAACTGCTCATCGTCTTCCCTTTTCTGGCCAAGTTACAAAAATTTCGTCAGTCGTCAGCTTAGGGGAAGGTATAAAGTAATTATCCTCATTATTCGGAACGATAGAAACAAATCGTTCTCCCATAAGTTTGCTTCATTTTTGTTTCACTTCACCTGTGCTCGTCGTATCCTCATGTCTATTGTTGCAAGTGAGTTCTCAGTAAATCACAGGTCCATTTGCTTAGTTTTCAAGTTGTAAGCGTATATCAAGAGGTTCATTATCACCACTAATATCAGAACAATTTCCCAAATACGATTGAGTTACGATCAGGATAACGGGGTGCGTCGGTTATTCTTGAGACAACACAAAGGGTCACTGAAAAGTAGAAAGAACTCCGACTCCGAAAATTCTGGCAATGAATCGAACAAGGTGACGGACTGCCTTACCAGGATGGCATGCTTTCTCTCTTGAGCACGCCTGTCCAACATCTCATTTTTTATTTCCGCAGTTTCATGTGCCGCCTCCTTCAGAATGCACATCACATTATAGTTAACTCTAATGTACATGTGGGGTAAATATTGCAATTATCAGATGTTCAAATACTCCTATATGGCCTTCATCAACTCACCTTTCGAGCAAGAGCATTGTTATCGGCCCGCTCCAAAAACTCTCCTCTCATTTTAGCCAGGCCATGATCTTTCACCCAGCTGCATGTCCATTAGGTTCGATTAGGTCCTTGTAGACAAGTATGTCTTGCATTTTGGGTAGAACAATGGAAAACTGCCATAATATTTTAAAAACTTATTCATTTTCCGATATTTGGAAAGCTTTGCAAATGCATAATCTTAGGGATCCATCTTACTGGGATAACTTTTGTGTTTCATATTCATTGATCCTGTTTTTCACCATATGCGCATCCCGGAATGACAGCCCTGAAATGTGACGACGAGGTTAATCTGGACATGAAGACCTGCCAGAGACTTTATCTTAAACATAGACGTGAAGCACAGCATTTCACGTCAAAGCATGCCCTACGTCCAAGGCCGAATGCAAGGCGAAATCCCACGGAAGTAGACCAGCACAGAGATTGTGAAGTAAAGAGACTGCAGATATAGTGGAATTGTACATGATAAGAGGCAGTTATCGTGCATTTATGTTTTCCCAAACCACTTTGTGCAGAAGGATGCGAAGGTGCTCAGCACTCACCGACGACGGATGGTTTGGTATGTAGGTACGCCTGCAAAAGAGCGATTAAAATCATGTTTATTCCGTATGAATGATAATGGAATCGAGGAGAAAAGCCTCAGAAATTCTGAAAATTAGTCCACATTGTCCCGGGATCGTGTCAGAGAGCTTGACTGGTGATCTACGTCCTTTTTTTCGGACTTTCCAACTCCTTTTAATGGAGCATGTTTTCCTGTAAGCATGCATGAACTGAGACTACAAGTGGCAAATTTAAGGCTTCCTGGTAGGAAGCATGCCGGCTTGTAGGAAAGCGAAGAAACTAATACTTAGACATCATTTCTAGACACAGTGCATCAGGACTCGGCTTAGCAGTTTCTCACAACAATGAAACCAGGTTGTGAGTTTTAGTCCCAGTTATCAAGGTATCCTTCTAATCGGCAAATTTGAGTGTTCTCATGTGATCATGGTTTTGGTGAGAAGGGCAGGATTCCGGTTTACATTAGATCCGTGTTTTCATTTAACGGCAAGGCCTTGACTACTAGATATCTGTGCGTCAGACATAGTTTGTCGCAATTGTCAATGAATTTTTTTCATAAGCATCTGCAAATTTGGAGTACAGCTCCTGCCTTCTTACCAGTTCTTTCTCACAAAAAGATCGAACAAGAGACTGATGGGAAGTTCTTTAACATTTTACTTTATATGATCCTCCATTTCGTTTTTGTTAGAATTTAGGGTTTAGGGCCAAAGTACCATCTTTGTGTGATGTACAAAATTCGTGTTCAGGCTCTGTGAACACGATGGCGAGCCTTTGGCAGCCTAAGGCATCCGAGCAAGTCCTGGCTTCCACGACGTAAATTCGAAAATGCAAAGACGAGTATGAATGTGAAGAAGCTGTCCTCCTCTTTTTCCCCACAGAAAAACCGAGAACGACTAGCAATCAGCCCAGCCGAAGAATCGCCACAATAAGAGTGAAGCGCCCCACAGAAAACGTTCACGAGAACAGGACGGGTAAGGTTCTAAGGTTCCGTTGCGAGGTATAGCTCAAGACTTTACGCACAGATCGACGAAGCACGATGATGATGGAGAGCACAATTGGACCTTGCTAAAAAGACTCGGATAGAAGCGTGAGGGAAGAGACTGTGGGAGGTTCAGGGCTCTGATCGGGTGAAGTGTTTATGGCGAAAAACAGCTCGTTTCTTCAATATCTCTCGGAATCATAACTGACTGTACGCACGACAATTTGCGCGCATCCCAAAAATGGGGCGTATAACGAGTGAATTTGCCCGGCACAAACTTGAATCAAATTAACAGCAATGTTCTGTTCACACCTTGCGCCGCACAAACTCAGGGAGGTCAGTACAGATAAACCAGGATTCCAAAACATCCGGGTGCTACTTCGAGCTCGGCATTTAGGAGATCATAGACCGTGAGCGCAGAGACCACCGTAGTATCAGGAATCTGACCTCGATGACATGAGCGATCCCAACTTCACAACAATGAGCACAAAAATTGTCGGCAAAATCGTCCAAACAAACTTCCAGAGAGGAATTTGCAAAGCACAACCGTAATCAGAAAAAGGCAACCAAAATGGACGCCCTGGCACCTGCCACCAGACTCAAAAGAAGCAAGACCACACCGTCCAGAAACACTAAAGGAAAAATGACTTCACCGATCCAACCGTCTCAACAGCAAAGAGTCCAGAATGTCAGAGCACGAGCGAGGTCGTTCGGAACGTGTAAAATTGGAACCAAAACTCCACCTGCACAAGGGAAAAGTGCCAGACTACGGGCTGATCACAATGACAGACTGTGGCATCCTAAATTCCTCAGAAGCAGTACGAGAGAGCCACTGAGGGGACTGCTGATGGCCATTTAAAATTTGCCTCCCAGCCCACTGACTCGGAAAGAGAATACGAGATTCGGGTGCGGCAATCTTCAAAACACCGAAATTGCAGACCCGGAGGTTTCCCCGCACACGCAGCCGGTCACGCTTGCGACGCCGACGAGGCAGACTGCAGCAACAACCGACAGTGGTCTCCCTGGCCGACTGTCAGTGACCGCGCTCGGGTGACGACGAGGAAATATGCTCGTCGCGTCCGTCGCGTACTGTACTCGAGCGCGCGCTCTGCTGAATCTGCCGATCGGTCCATTCACGTTCTGCACCGTAGGATGCGACCTCGATCTCCAAGCTCTCCAAGTTAGACTCTAACCGGCTCCATCTCCTTCACGTGGTTACACTTACGACGTCCGAACACCGGTGCCGCCGGCTGCAGTCGTGGACCTTACGAGGTGGGCAGGAGAGCAACATTTGCGTCCCCGGCGTCGCCGCTCTCTCTCCCTATCCCCCGGGAAGGTGAGCGGCAACGACGACGTCGTCCCGGCGGGTGGGTCCGCCGGTCCTAGCCTGCACTCGCCCTACATAGCGGGAATTTCAAATGGTCGACTCGCTGACGTGGACGCTGTCCTCGCGAGAAAACCTCGAATGAATCAGACAGCAATTCGGTGACGGGAGGTCCGAGGAATGGATTCCCCCGCCAAATTTTCCCACTCTGCCATTTTAGTCATATTCGGACCGAAATTGGAAGCGAAATCGACCAGAGGACCCTCTCAATGCTCCGACAACATCCAGTTTCCTCCTCCTGCGTTGGTAATACTCGATTGCAGATAACGTCCAGAAGCACGCCTATGCCAGCCGTTCCCAGAAAAGAGGTAATGCACTATCAAATGTGACCAACCCAAACTGGCAACACTTCGCCATAGAACATGCAGACTATTTCATTTTAAAAAATAATTTACAGAACTCAGACCACTCTAGATTACTATCGCATGGTTTTTTTTTTCTTCGATAATATATACCTTGACGAAACTGGATTGGAAAATAAGTCAAAGAGAATGATAAATCTTTTTACTTCTAAACATGTCCAAAATAATGATCACGCACAATATGATAAGAAGCTTGCACTTTCTTTCGACTACAACGTACTCGAACTTTACAAGCTTATAGTGTAATGCGTATGGAAGCAAGTAGGTAAACGATTGGGTTCCGTCACTTTATTGGAGATTCCGAATGTTCACCTTACATATTTTGCTCGGGAATCTGTGAATTGCAGTGCTGGTGTCCGGAGAATGTTAGAGTTGAGTATGAACGACCAAAATGCGTGCTCCTGTCAATGGAAATAAATCCTGGAGTTTGGGAAGGACGTGTTATAAGCAAGGCATACAAAAATATTAGAACTCACATTGTAAAACTGATTTGATTTCTTAGTGTGCAAATGGCCTAAGACCCCGTTTCAATCAACAGTCCGGAGCAGGAAGGACTTTTGCATTTATGTAACTGAACTGTCCAAAAATCCTCTGAATTTAGGCACACTGGCGAAATTTAGGCACTTACCTAAATGGTCCCTTGGAATTTGCGTGAAAAGCACAAGGACATGACAGAGAAAGCGGAGGATGATTTAGCAGGGGCGACAAAGTAGCGCCAGAGTGTTCAAAGGCCGGGGTCATGCAGATATTCGAATAGAGAGAGAGAGAGAGAGAGAGAGCGCAAGCGGAAGGAGGGGGAGGAGGCTGGAGTTCAAACTCTTCCCGCCTGGCGCGTGGGGCAGGCTCCGCAACGCCTCTCCGACGGGGGCTCGGTGTCTCTGCTCGCTCGCCCATTTCAATTCAAACTCTGAAGCGCGAGCAGATGCCCTCTTAGTCGCTGGCCGTCTGGGCTCCCTCTTGCCGCTCTCTTCCGCGTGCGTCCCTTTTTGAGCACGAGCATCAATCTCTCGTTCATTCGTTCATTGTCCCTGCGGTCGATTATTCAACCTCTTGTTGAATAGCTGTTGCTGCTTCTGCATTGCTCTGTAGTCGGAGGATTCTTGGCTTGGAATTGGGGGCGAGAGACGTCGATCATGGAGGAGGTGGAGTGGAGAAGCCAGGGGATTGGAGAGGGGAGCTAGGTGCGTGTGTCACGGTATAATGGTTGCGCATTTGAGATGCCGGAGGTGGAGCTGGAGAGGCGATGCAGGAGAAGGCGGAGAGGGTGGAGTCTAGACGCCCGGGCGGAGGTCCCCATTGCATGCAATTTTGGTGACAGATGAAAAGAGATGTCTACATGGAGTGGGATTCATTGAGACTCCACTGAAGTCTGCAGATTTTCAGTTTCGAGGCCGGTGATATCAGGAACTCTTAGCGTAGGTCGAGACATTAGCTTAGCGCTTTCTAGGACGATGCGTCGAGCAACTCTGGGCAGCATGAGCCCCTCGCAGCTCAACACTCGAGGTGCCACGAATGGGCGGGCCAAAGGATCGCGCGGTTCCTTGATTCCCAGACCACCTCCGGCTGGGGCTTCCAATGTCATCAAGCCCAGTCGTCCCTCCATGGGACGTCGTTCCAGCATGATGGGAAAAGGATCCGGCACACAAACTGAGACGCGGCCCATCGGCGATCGAGCATTCCAACAGGTATCGTTTTACAGTGAAGTGGATTTCCCATTTTATTGTTTGGGAAACTTGTGTTTGTCGCTACTTCCGTTGCAGTGTTTAATTCTACGCAGGAATCTACTTCCTAGCATGACGCCCATTCTCTCGCTTGCGATTGGTATTGTATTCTCCTACATATAGACAATAAACTTGAAACAAGGTGGAAGTGCACTCTGTTTGCTTCAGTTTGTTCCCCCCTTCTCATCCCTTCGATTGCCCTCTTTATTTCAGGATTGCATACGAAATCTCTGCAACTACCTCACCACGCATGGCTATGTCAATGCTGTATCTCCAAAGGTCCTCCAGGCCCCTTCCAGCAAAGATGTGACCAGCATAATACAATTTCTGTTTCATCAAGTCGACCCAAACTACAAGTTTATGAAAATCGAAGAGGATGTCCCCATCTTCTTCAAGCGGATCGGATATCCCGTTCAGATCAGTCGAAGTGCGCTCTATGCAGCCGGGAGTCCAGTTTCATGGCCTTCGCTTCTTGCAGCTCTTACATGGCTGTCGCAGCTTCTCGTGGCTATGGAGTCGTCTTCTGAGGGGCCTGATTTCTCGCCATTCGATGACGTGAGGGGCAACTTGTTGACAGACTACATCAACGAAAACTACATGAACTACCTCGCGGGTAAGGATGATGAGGTTGATCGTCTGGACGAAGAATTTCGCAAGCAATTTGTACAAGAGAAAGAGAAGGATGCCGCTGAATGTGAGCAACTTCAGGCCACCCTGAATAAGCTGAAGGAGGAAATGCAGCGGGCCAAGAACGAAATGTCACCTCTGGTTGCTCTGGAAACAAAGAAACGTGACTTCCAGGATGACATTGTGAAGTTCAACCAAATCATAACGGGATTCACGGCTCACAAGCAAGCGCTGGAGAAAAAGGTAAACGAAAAAAGGCAGGAGCTAACAACAAAGAAAGAGGAGGTCCTGAATACTCTGAAGGAAAACGAAGAGTTGAAGGAGACGGTCGCGGCGCAGCAGATCAACGCCGCCGATGTCGAGAAGATGCTCAAGGAAAAAGAAATACTGGACGTGAATCTGCAATCTCTGATGAGTAGGAAGGAAGAACTGGAGAAGGCAGCTTGGAATTTCGAAGTGCAATCGTCTAAGAAACTTCGAGACCTGGAGACTAAAGTTAATCAGTTCAATGACAGCTGCCAAAGGTTTGTTCTCTGATCCACACACCCTGCAGCTCTGTTTCACAAAATTTCCTCATGGGTACGGACAACGTTATCTGTTGGTAAAACATCACAAGTACCATCAAACGTTCTGAGACTAGTCACTAGTACCTCTCAGCTTGGGCTTGGGGTCTATTGTCTTAAGCAAATGAGAAGAAAATATTCATTCGTTCAGTTTTTAATCGTGCCATTCAGTTTGTCTCATTTTGAGACATGCATAATTCCTCTTACTTTCACATTTGACCATCGGGTTTGTTAACTCTTCTTATTTTGGCTCTGAAGGCTGAAGCCGACCACAGGGGAGGACTCCCATGAGGCCTACCAATTTGAAATCAAGCTCCAGCCCAGAGCCGACACTCCCGACGAAATCCTCGGGGGAACACTGAAGACTGTACTCAAACCTGGATTCACGGAGCTTATGGACACTTGTAGGAAGAGATTGACTGAAGAACTTGAACCTGAGACGCTGAAACTTCAGCAACAAATATTCTCCAGGGAGATTGCAGGTCGGAAGAAGGCAGAGCAAATTGCAGCCGCGACTGCACACATAAAGAAGGTAAATTTGTCAATTCGCTGAACAGGTGTCCAAACTAGAAAAAATCGTACCTTCAGCCTCCTGTTAAATGCTTTGGAAGTGATCTTGCCTGCCCTTAAATATTCTCAACGCTTGGAACCATTGTCACAGCTCGAAGCCCAGTACAATGTGAGGATGGACAAATTAAACGCAATCCTGGCTGCCAAGATAGCAGAGCGAGAGGAATACGAGATGAGGACAGTTACAGAAGAAGCTGAATTTCGAAAGCTCCAAGTTGATGTCGAGCAACGACTGAGGGTAAGTACCAACTCCCAGTGACTGACGAATGTTTGGATCTTTTCACCAGATAGCCATATCATGTCGGCACGAGAACATCCTCACGAGTCTCCCCTCGTTGTCATTGCAGGAGTTGCAAGTGGAGTTGGATAACACACTGAGGATTTGTCAGGAAGAGATTGAGTTCGAGAAGAATGAAGGAACCGAAATTTTGGAGATTATTTTGAGCACAAAAGAACGGACGCAAGCAATGCTGAAGCGAGTTACGGATGTTTCGATCCAATCTACGCAAGTCTTCCATGAGTTGCTTTTGTCCCCTTGAACTGTACATAATTGAGAGAGCTCGTTCCACTGATGCCCACCCACTTCCCATGTATCCATATTTCGGGTAGTTTTGCACAGCTTTGTAGAGTGGTGCCAAGAGGTATTTCAAATTATGCCACTGAAACCTGAGAATTGAAGTTAGTGAATACGCAATCGTGTAAACTTCTCATGTTAGCCCAATTAATAATTCCTCAGCAATGAATTGGGAAAGCTGTTTATATCTATGTGTCGAGTCGAATCCTTCAATATTCTTGTAATTGCCGCATCATGAGTACGACTCTCTTGAAGTTCGTTGTCACCATTGTCCGTACATTTTAGCTGCCAAGGACAACACAGTCTGGTTATCGGTACTTAAACGGGGGAGGGTCACCACAGATGGATAGCACGTGGAAAAAATGATGAGGGGAAATGGACTTGAGCTGTGGAGATATTCTCAACCATTGTGTCATCAGGCGATCGACGGTGTGTGAGCATCGTGACGCAGACGGAGATATGTTGTCCTATAGTTGTGGAGTCTTGCAGTCCCAAATACTCTTATTAATGAACTCAAGGATGGAGTTGGACTGCGCCAAATTACGCCAAGTTACTGCTGGAACAGATACCCGAATTTCTGCAGATAGAAAGTGGGGTCATTGAAAGAGATGTCTTCTGTCGTTGATGTCGAAACGTTGCACAGTATCACATATCACATCACTTCTGAGAATAGCAGAAATGTATCTTCTAAATCTACAACATACTGGATCATTGATGTGGACAGTGAAACACTTATGTCCAAAATTCTGAGATCATACATTAAGCAGCACACAAAAAGGATTTTTGAAACCGTGTATGTCCAAGTGACAGCTAAAACCAAATGCCGAAGAGTACAAAAGCAGAAACATTCTGCATATTGTCCCATGTAAGTTGTGAGGGAATGAAGATATGAGTACTTAGTATGTCGCTTCCTAATAGTAGTGATGATACAACAGACAACTTCGTGCAGTTAATCGACAGCACCTGAAAGGTACAGTCTTATCAACAGGACATATTCCATTCCTTAAGAATGGAATATGTCATAGAACGAACGGACCGCCTTAGGTCAACAACCATCGAAGCAAATTTCCAAACAAAACAAGCCACCATTCTTACACAAAAGTTGCGGAGATTCCCCCGAAAAATGATTCAACAGTTGTCATTTCAGAAGAAAACAAATCTTATCGCATGGCCACAGACACCAGTGACAGATCATTGGGCCGGACAAAGTATACAAACCACCAATAAACTTCAAATATTCAATCTCATGTTTAAAGTAGCTCTGACACGCACCATCCCCCATTCGTACAGACCCAAGTTAAAGATGAGAGATTTCCAACTCAATCCAGAAATTGATGACGCTCTCTGTAGTTTGACCAAATCCCAGAGCTCGGGTTGATGTAATCCTGCTCCTCTTCTGAATTTCACTCTTATGTACACCCACAAAACGATACTTGCCTTCAAACTGATCTCTGCCAGACCTATGAAGTGCATGGTCTGAAGCTTCACGTGCATGCAAGCCCAAGCCAATTTATCCGGCTCTCAATCCGGACCTTCATCGATCCAGGATTTGGATCGATGATACGGCAGTCCAGCCGGCCAGTCCAATCTTGCTTGCCTGAAATATGGAATCGAGATGACAGCCCCGTTGTGCTTCAAGACCTACACTTCATCAGCGTTCCATTGTCCTATGGCCTAACTCCTAATCTCTATACACGATCTCCGTAGCTACTCAAACCGACTAGCCATGTCCTCACTAACCTGCAACCTCACTGACTCGGATTCACCCGGGATCAAAACCACGAATGAGAACTCAGCAGGACTGTTCCAATTTCATCCTCCACCAAGAAAGCTGCTCTGCTCGAGCTGCAAATTCCGGTTGTACCTAGGTCGCCATATCGTAGCAACTATCTGCCTCAAAACCCAAATTACAATGCAAAATGCGTGTATCGATTCTCTGACTCAAAATGTATACACTGTGAACCTGCTCAGGAGGTAGTGTCATGTGTCCTTGAAATTTGGCCTTCCGATCTACAAAAGATCGAAGCCACTGACCAACTCGATGCGAACTCTGCCTTCGTTCCCTTTGCCCAGAGACACAGCAGGAAAGTATATCCCGTCGAGGAGGTGACTCCAAGCCAGCTGGAATTCATCTCCGTCCACAGAGAAGGAGCACACTCGCTCATACAAATCGAGTTGAACTCTGATTCTGGCATTCACATGTCCAAAATCCTTCTCGTAGGGTACCCAGATAGGCGTCCCTTCCCCACCTCGGAAGTTGATCCGCGTGCCCTCTGTGATGTCCATGTTCAAAGCCCATCCGGTGGGTTGCTGAGCTAAAGTGCTCCCATTGAAGTTGATTTTTCCCGACTGCAACCGACTCACAAAATGGAACCCGATCTCGCAGAACTGGTGGCACAACTGTTCGATGATTATGTCCCATTCGTAGATACCGAACGGCCTGAAAATGGCAATCGTGGCTCTGGCGAATCCGATCTCAGCCTCCACCTTCTGAAGAGTGGATCCATCGCCTATGGTTTTGTACGCAGTCCCGTGTTCCCACGTGCACACCGAATCCTTGGCGAACATGCGAGGTCTCTCGAGGGCCTGGAATTGGTAGGCTTTGAGCACGTCGGCCGGAGGCACCAGGTGCAGGGGCTCCACGACCTTCATCAGGAGCTCGGGGTGAATGCGTCGTAGGTCGACCAGGGACAAGAGGCTGGCCATGGGATTCCCAGGGTCTTCTTTTCTGAGCAGAATGGATCGGAGGTAGCTCCACTGAGCTTCGTCTGTGGCTGGAGCCTTGCTCGAGTCTCGCAAAAACATCAAAGCGCCCTTCGAATCCGGAAGGGACAGGTTCACAACATCGGCCGCTTCCTCGGGGCAGACTTGGCTGGCGCACCAGAGGATGATTTGTCTGAAGCGCAAATACTCTCCAAAAGAAAGAGTTCCCAGCTCGCTCTTGCTCTTCGTCTTGTGCAGGAAGTACCGGAAGGCCTTCTCCGACAGAGCTTGCAGGTGGACGGGCTCCATGTTCTTCGAATTCAACACTCGGACGAATTCGATGGATAGAATTTCGAGCTCGCTCGATAGAGTCCCGAACTCCAAAGCCACAGAAAGCCGCAGCGCAGCCTTGGTGAGGTCATCGCCCACCGTGGCCGTGCTGTTCACAAGAAATTCTCGGGTCAGCTTATCCACATGCTGGAGCTGGAAGTATCTGGCGCCCGTGATCACCTCGTACGCTTTTCTGGAGTTGAGAGGAGCGTACTCGACCATCGTGCCGGTGTACAGATACTCCAAGAGCGACAGCAGCACGGTGGACGATATGTCGGGCAGAGGAAGCTCTCTCGTGCCCGGCACGAGCATCCGCTTGAGCACCGGCGACCTGGCTGTTAAGAAATGTCGGCAGCCGTGAACTCGCACCCTGTCCTGACACACGAAATCCACGTCGCTGTACTCGGGATTGTTTATCATCTTCCGCAGATCGGCGATCAGCTCCGCCATCGCCGCCGTCTGCTCCTTTTGGGACGTGAGTCCCTTGGCATCCATGTTCGCCGTTTTGACGATCTACAAACTCTCCTCCCAGACCTAGGCACCCACTGCCTGCCTGCCTGCCTCCTTCCCTCCCTGGCTGACACAGCTCGACGAGGGTACTGGTGCCTGTGAGAGGTTTAAGACGAGACGAGCACCTGCCCACCAGTTCACGGGAAGATGTGAGTCGCACGCCTCCTCCCTGAACAACCTCCCGCGAGTAGGTAGCGGAAAGCGAAGCAGGATTCTCCGCGAGGAGGTCGTCGCTCAACACGCTCCGACCGAATACAGATCCATCTGCTCACAGCCAGCCCGTTTCTGTGCCAATCCCCAGTTGCAGCTGCGCGCGACCTGCTGGAAGAATTTGAAGATACGAGTATTTCGGAGAAGACTCGGAGATGGTCAGAATCACGGTCGGGGTCGGAGTGAGAAGCGCAGAAGGTGGTCCGTCAGAACAAGGCGCACAGAGCCTATCGGCTTGTCGCGTGCCTGCTTCGTGCTTGTGCTTCATGTACCGAGCTAGACCAAGGAGAAGAGCAGGACGAGAAGGAAGGGGGAGCCACTCGAGATCCGAGTGCGAGGATGTGAGGAAGGGAGGGAAGGGAGTGAAGACACAGTGTCGCCCTGGAGCAATGATGATAATCAGTCACGAGGAGTGACGAGTGACGAGTGACGGTCAATCTTCAGTCCACCGGGGAAGGGTCGGAAGTGCTGCTGCTCGAATCGAGAGAGTCGTCTTCTTCAAACAGAAGGTTCATGGTTCGGGGATGACAAGCGTGCTCTTGCCTGTGCTGGGCTTGGCATGGCATGTCATGGCATGGAGATGAAGATGGAGGAGGGAGGACGACAATGTTCGGGGCCTCGGGCTTGACGGACGAGTCTAGAGGTTTCCTTCGTCGTCGGTCCACGCAGCAGAGGACGACGACAACGGGACGCCTCAGCAGACCCTACCGAGCCTTACATCAGGACAAGTTGCCCGCGACGTTGGTTTGGGATGTGCTCGGCCACACGGCGAAGATGCATCCTGCCCCCCCCCTGCTGCTGCTGCTGGCTGCTGCTGCTGCTCTGATCTTCTTCTGCTCACGCGAATCTACCACTACACACCCACATCTCCAGATCTGTACCCGCCTCCGCCTCCCTCCCTCCCACTTCCCGCACTCGCTCTCTCAGAGGAACACCGGACGCACGCACTCTTCCATGGCAGGAATCAAAGGAGCATCGTACCGCCAAAATGCTCACGTAAGAACGGCCACCGACTGCTGCACCCAGCGCTGCACCTTTTCGCCCAAAGACTATGACAAGCCCGCCCCCGAACTCGTCCTTTTCCGTACGTAACTTCCACACGACTCCACTGCACCAAAGGTAAACCCTGCGACTTCAAGGCCCCCTCTGGCATCCGATGCATGCTTACCAAACTCCCTTCATCCTCCCCCCTCCCCCTCTCTCTCTCTCTCTCTCTCTCTATCTCTCTCTGCCCCCGGCCATTCCTCTTGTCGTCGCTGCTGCGTACGAGCGTGTCGGACGGAGGGAGGGAGGGGAGTTTAGGAATGCTGCGCGGGATCGGCAATCATGCCTGCGTCGATGGGGGCCGCAGATCTCCCCCATCGGTCAACCCGGGGGGGCGCAAGGGCTGTCGTACCGGTCGGCTCTCCCAATTTGTTGGGTCGGTTCCTTGCTTACCGGCGCGTACATTCCGCCAGGCCTTTCTCCGTGTATGTCGAGCCTCGTCCTCCTCGTACCGTAACATGGCAGCTGCGCCCCCAACGTTATGCTCATCCGGACTGACACGAGACGTTGGGCATGCGCTGCTGGGGGCGTGGGATCCTCGACTGCGAGTGTGTCGGAACCGATATTACCGGTACAGAGAGCCCACCTGTTCTCAACGAGGCTTGTACTTGGCGCTGATCCATGCCTTCGGGCAGCCGGGTAAACATGTGGTAAAGTCAGTCCCCCTGGGGGGTGGCAGGCTGCGGTCTGGACATTCCGAGGTTCTTCTTCTGCCACTTGACGCCACACCTTGGCGTGTACTCGGCTCCCATTGCCAAAGATCATTTCGAGGAACAATAATGCCAGCTTGGTGTTGTGATGGTGTCCTCGAGCAAGAGTGTACCAGATAAGACTGTTGTGGATGGAGGAAGGGCAGAGAGTCGACGTTGGGAAAATGGGCTTTCTCAGAGAGCCAGCGGACAGGGAGGTGGTGGGAGCTGTTGCGAGAGAGAAATCGTCTCAGGTACAAAAGATCGGTTTTGCAGCATCCAGGACTTACCAGCAGGACACAGTGGTACCTGCCACAACGAATATCCATGTACAACTTGATTTGATTGCAACGAATTACAACAATCTGTCCAGTGCTACATGCCATGTCCACCATAATGGCTATGTAAGTAGCAGTTCTTGGGTAGTACAATAACTGTACACTTACTATCCGCAAGACAGCTACATTCCCAGGATGGGATAAGGTTCCTTCCCGAAGTTGTGATGACTCCCTGCGCTCTCTTCTCTCTCTACTCATACGGCTAACCACCACCAGCTTCTTCAAGGTTTCAAAATTAGGAACACAGAGGCTTATCGCCTGATTCATGGACTTTTGCCCTTCTTAATCTATAAAAGCTCCTTATTATTGAGCTTCAAAAGCAGGTGTACTGCCTCCTGTGAAGACATAAACTCATCGGGATTACCGCCCTTGTCTAGGTCGTCGAGTAGTTTCTTGATAAATGCCAGCACTTCCGTTGGGAACTTCGAATCGGAGGGGGTCGACCCTTGCACTTCTACGTCTAATTTATCTTCAGTGCGGCTCCCGTCCTTTTCAGCCCAAGAAGACTCCAATTCTGCAGATCGCGCAGCTGCTCTTTCAAGTACTGGTTCCGGGATACCTATTACAAGTCCACACAGGATCGTTTCCACGGTTAGTTAATGCCCCGGCCTTCTACGCCATCGAAGTCGGCCATTCACGTCAGCTGTTCGAGGTGGGCTTCGACCAAGGACTGGAATCTCAGGTATGCTAAAAACCATCCGACTTCATGAGAATTAACAGAAATTTTCAGAGGCCAAGGCAGCAGTTACTGACCAGCCAGCCGAGCGACGTTTACACCATAGCTCTTTGGACAAGGTCCAGGCGCCAATTTGTACAAAAATGTGACTTCCTCAAGGCCACCAGCCTCAGTCCCAACCGTGCACGACATGTGATAGAGCCCGACCTGGAAAGAGTACCCAAAGAATTGTCAGGAGAGGCTTCGAGACACCTGTGAGAAGTTTTGAAAATGAGCTCAGAGACGAATCAAACTGCATCTGGTATGATCGTGAAGGATCTGTTCCAACTTGGCAAAGCACTCGTTCATATCTGCAAGTTGTGAGCCCGTCCTTGCATTAAGGTAGATTTTTAACTTTGGACCCACCTTCGAATCAGTGACAGAGTAGTGCGTCGAAAGCCTATGATAGTGTGTGGAGAACATTCCTCTACAACCAACATCGCTGACTAGACGTTCCATTACGGCGTGCCTGCATATCCAAGTCCAACAAAGAATTAGCTGATATTTTGCCTTCTTGATTACACTAGTGGAAGCAAAGTTCTCGTTATGTCCTGACAACACGAGAGGAATCGAAGGGGAAATCACGCAGACTAGAGAAACCTCTAATCACATCATTACCCTCACTGAGTTAATGCTAATCTGAAACATTTGAGAGAGGAACTAAGATAATAGCTAATTCGATGTTGCGATGAAAAGTTCGCTATTACTGCTCAGAATGCTTGAAAGGTCCAAATATAAAACGTACGCTATCGCCTGCCCGTCTGCAGTTGAAGTGCCACGTCCCAGTTCGTCTAAAGCTACAAGAGAATTGCTGGTAGCACCTCTCTGAAAAACAAGGCGTTCAGTTTCCTCACCATGTCAGAAAAACCTCCACTTCTCCAGTAAAATATTACCTCCTAGTCCAGAGTTCGTCAAGTCAGTGAAAGTCTCAAGTTAGTTGAGGACTGATTTGATATACCGTGGTATACACATGAAATCCTAAGATTTTGAAATTTCTACAACGTAACTTCTAGCTTAGAGTCTGGTGCATCGGCATAATTCTGAGACAATGGACTTTTGAGGCTAAAGTTGTGAGACGCGTTTAAAAAGTGCGTTGTGTCAACAGAAGCTCAGAGTCGTGCATATTTTCAATTGCAGGTGTGTTTCGGCACGGTTTCGGGAGCAGCAATGTCAACTTACCAGCATTGCTGCAGTCTCTGACATCTCTACAAGAAACGTGCTTTGGCCAGCCATTATATGATCCCTTGCGCCCATTCGGACGAACAGTTTATCAACTGGGCTCATTTCAAATTGCTCTGCAGGCACATTCGCCCCGATCTGCAGCATCCACAAGTTAGAATAATTAGCAAAAAAGACAGCGAAACAAAGCCACAAAGCTGATGATCAAGATGGAGAAATCGGCACAACAAAAGGGTGTAAAACTCGATATCTGCGATTCCTCATGCAACGGTTGGCAGACGCCCTAATACTCAAGACTCCCAAACAACGACACGGAACATACATTTGTCCTGAGAGATACAATCAGAAACTTAGTGCATTTGCAGGATAGTGCCTCGCCTGTACCTAGTCCTTACTGTTAACAACTCTCATCTTAAACTTAGCTCTGAAAGCTCTTAGTCCAGTATTTGCTCTTAACTATTCATTTTGTATGGTCAGGACATTTTCAAGGTACTATCTTTTCGAACAGAACTCAACATGACAGTGAATTGTAAAATATATTAGGAGGACCGTACCTGAGCAAGAATAACTGCGAGGCAGACTTGCCTAATAAGAGTAGACTTTCCACCCATGTTTGGTCCTGTCAGCAACATGAAGGATGTATGGCTACCGCCCAGCTCAATATCATTCGGAACAACTGTACCACCTCCATTAAGTCTAAGCGTTGGGTGCCGAAGACTTCTTGCGGAGATCATCGGGGTTTGGTAAGATGCACTTGAGTTGGGATCCGCCGAGACAAATGATGGCCTGCAAGTTGGAGCAGCGTACTCGCTTGCCTCTGCTAAACTTATTAGCACGTCCAGCTCTGCAAAATATATAAACATATGTCACACTACGTACAGGTCCAGAACAAATTAATAATCCTGAAACCAGTCAGACAAATGGAATTACCGGTCACAAACAAATGGGTCTGTTAAAATAGAATTTATCCAATGTATTTTGACATTTACGGACAAACACATGATACTGGATGTGCTACAAGTGATATCTCTCTTGCCATCTTAACGATCGAAATATCGAATGCGCCATTGGTTTATGAATCTCATTACCTGCAACTGACTTGATCAGAAACAGCCACTTCTGATAATGTCCACAGAAGCGTTTCACAAGACCTTTAAGTATGCCTTGAAGTGCTTGTTCTCTCTGCTGCTCGCCGGCTGTCAAATCCTGCAGAAGTTCTTTGATCTCGGGTGTCCAATACCGCCGATAACCCTGGATGGATAGTATTTGATTGAGCATCTTACATGGTTAGCAACCACCATAATGTGCAAAGCCTGTGCTCCAAACTAATAAAATACGTCACTTGAAGTGTAGCAGAAAGGCCCGTGTACGAACCTTTCGTGAAGATCGTACTTCATAGCTGGCAGGCACCTTCGCATGCAATTCTTCTGGAACCTCCATCTGATAGGCTTCTTTGCCGACAGTGACATAATTGATCTGAGGTCACAGGACAGATATGATTCATTCAGCATAGATCCCGACATGATGATACTGGGCACCACCCTGACCCACTGAAGGTTTCAAAGACCTCAGATAGTTTACTTAACACAGCAATCAATGGGACCAGTCCCTATGAAGTCCTGAACATAATCCAATTACCTCAGAGGAGTTACCAAACTTCTTCCTTTGCTTGCTCAAGTAATCTGACAATTTTTCGGAAACTGATTTGACTGTGGAGTCCGCCTCGTCAAATTCTGCATCAACACCTTCGACACTAGGAACAATACGGCCCGTTGTCTCGGCTTCATCCCAGTCGAAAGCTGTCTCAAAGTTTTCAATGATACTGAACATCTCGGAAAGTCCTCCGTCTGGACAATAACATGTAGACAAGTCAGTTACATTTGGTACGGACTTCACACATAAAAAGAGTGATCCGAGAAATCTGCATACCAGCTGAGTATGGACGACTTCAAAAAGGATTACGTCAACATACTTACAACGAACAGGGCATCCTCAACATGAAGAAAAAAAATTTTAACCCACCTGGGCTAATTAACTGCTTCAAGCGATCAGAGGATAACTCAGGAAGAACGACTTCGAAACTCTTGACAGCTTGAAGTAGTGCCTGGCATCCACGGAGAGTAGCCAGCAGTTCTTGCAAAAGTTTCTTCGCGGCATCTTCATACAGCACAACTTTCTGAGCATTCCTCCCGCTTTCATCACTGTAATGGTTTGTTTAATGCAAGAAAATGGAGAGCTGTCAGTTGAACATGCCGGATGCCTCAAGTACACAAGTTCTACTTTTCACCAATCATCAAATCTGTCAGCACTTGATCTAATCAGGATGAGTGCGAAATCAAAGAAGACTGCGGGTCGTTTCATCATTCACCTGTACGCGTGCAACCTTGAAAGAAATCGCTCCATATCAGGTTGACTCCGCAACTCCTTTCTGAAACTCGTGGCTGCTTCGGAGGCCACAGTCTACGCAGATATTCCAGTTTCAAACGAGCAGTAAGTACACATTATATGGTCTGAACGCTGTATACGATGACCACTGCACTAGAAACTTCAAGCTTGAGATTTGAAGAAAGGTTCTACCTTTAAGTCGTGAATAGCTTCTTGTCTCTTGACAATGGAATCCACTCGCATGAGAGGTCTAACAAGCCACTGTTTGAGCAGCCTCCGGCCGTAAGGAGTCACACAGTAGTCCAAGTGCCCCAGCAGTGTCCTACAACACGATCCTACAGAATTAAGGTTTCCTCAAAACACACGCAATGAAAATCTCGAAAGACGACGAAGACATCGAACGAGTTAATGAAGCATTAATCATACAGCTCTTCATATACTGAGCATGGCCATTTATTCTTACCCACGGGTCCCACCATCTCGATTGTTTTCTATAATTTCCAGATTCTCCAAAGCGGTTGCATCCATCAACAAGTAAGGCTCTAGATCACTGCCAGCAATTCCCTCGCTCCGTTTGATGGGTGATAGTCCTCCATTAGACTCGATTAGTCCTTCGCATGTGGCAGAAGGTTTTGTCATGTTGAAAGAATCTGTACCGGGGAGCAAGTCAACGCGGCCTAGCCTTAACACAGTTTGATCTAAGAGGGCCTGCTGCAAGTAAAACAGAGCGCCACCTAGTGATGACAGTGCCAATTCACCAAGTTCATCCGCTTCTACCAATCTTTGTAGAGCCTCTGGCAGGCAATTATTCTCTGTCACGGCTTCGCTTTCAGCAATCCCATTTTCCTGAAGATTTTGGGATGCCCTTTCCGCAGGTTTAAAACTTGCAAATATTGTCATGATTTCTCTGATCGATCGCTTGGCATCCCAAAATTCCTTTCCGGGAGCCAAAGATGTCACAAGAGGCTGCCTTGTATGATCCTTCAGAGCACGTTCTGTGGCGTCCGTGAGGAGGCCATGGGGTTTAATTACCTCCACTGGTCTTATTTCTGCTAGCAGTCCACGAAGTCTAGTTCTCGCCATGTCATCACAAAACTGCACCCAAATAAAAATGAGTTCAGGATCCTTCGGAAGTATCATTGGCCAAGCAAAGAAAATTATCCATCCTAGAACGCATAAACATAACGAGGAAAATTTCAAATGGGTACTTCTAGACATTGTAGCAGACCCCAGGACCAAGACGAGTGTGCCGCATCCTGAATATCGAAACATACCTGGCCCAACATAATGTGGCTGGTTGAAGTATCGACAGTACACATTCCTATGATACAAGCTTGTGCTTCAGACTTTGAACGTGCTATTGGAAGACCGTTCTCAGAGACCTCATTGAAGGGAAAATCCCGCTCTGTGATTGACAAAAGATATGCCGCATCGGGCCTTGCAACTAGCATATCCCCATCCACTAACGTCCCCTTGGTGATGACAGCACAAACTTCACGTCTCACAACCTGCTCCCAGGGGAGAAATTGTAATAATGAGTGGTCGAATAGTCTGTACTAAAACTATGAAACAAAATCTGAAGAAAGGAATGAAAAAATTAGCAGTAAATTCGCACCTTATCCTTAGAACCGGTTTTTCGTTTCCTCTGTTCTAACTGCTCAGGCGTCTCCGTCTGCTCCACAATCAAGACTCGATATCCCTGTACCAGTAAGCCCCAAGTTATGGACAATCGATTGCTTTCTGCAGATTCGGGAACAGATTCAAATTGAGGAGACTTTGGTACACTCATCAACTTCATTCATTGAGACATATTAATTTAAAGACACTAGAGAAATATATCCCACATCAAAAGACCCCAACGTACCAACGTCTATCACCTTTAGTAGACTTTGGGGAGTAGTTTCAAGCTAAGAGTCCTCTAACGGCTATAAAAGAAAGAAGAAAGAAAGGTGGCGGGCGATGAAACTTGACAGCCAGTAAACAGCCAAATGCTGATGAGCCATGCCAAATTAGAGTGAACGATAGACCCACATGTAATATACCTTTTGAGCCAGCTTTTCAGCATTGACCGCGTAGTTCTTCTCAGGAAACCCACAATGAGGTTGGTCACCCTGCACAATTAGAGCTATTAGACATGAATCCCGTGAGCTCCACAAACGCCTTGCATAAATACATTGTACTCGTTAAACAGACTGGAACAAATTCCACTGCGGGTTATGGATACATGATAATGTGATAAAGATGAAAATAAGAAATGAACCTTCATGTACTGCAGATCCAGTTCTTGGGCTCCGATGTGGGCATCCATTTCAAACATTTCGTAGAACTTCCCCACCTGCAGGCAGAAACTAGTTCAAACTCATCTTCGTATGCAGCATTTAATAAATTTCCTACTAAATACTTTCACTGACGGACTTCTAAGCCTCGTCAAGGCTCCAAGCTGGAAACAGTACACCGAAAGACTTTCGTACAATTATATCCCGACCCACACGAATAGCTCGAGTAGGAGAAAGATCTGAAGAGCAGTAACCTATCTTTAGATTTGTTGGGATATTGCCAAAATTACGTGGAGAAGGCAAATGCCAAATCACCTGTATCCCGGAACTATCTTGGATACACTTATCTGTTCTTACCAAAACCTCCACACTTAAAAACCCCTTCCTCTGAGTTCCTACTTGCATGAGTTCTAGTTAAAATATCCACACCGGAACAACACTACGAGGAAAGACTTGAGCGAATCTTCAGAATGGCCTTAGCATCGTCCGATGGTGAAATGCGCCTCACATAATCTCGACGACCAAGAAAGACCTACTAAACTTCGGTTGAATAAGGTGCTGGAATTTGCGAGTGCGAAAATATTTCCTTGAAGTAGATTTACGGAAGATGGAACCAGGGACGTTTGCATTTCAGAGACGATGGTAATTACGAGTCACTCACACAAAGTGATGACCCAACGAGGACGCAAGCAACATATCGATATCTCTTTAGTTAGGCTAGACCTCGAATCCGATACCTTCAAGCACTCTCTTCAGGACTCCTTGCCTTAGGACGCGCCTAGAGTTCAAGTTGCGAATGCGATCATCCTTTTCAGTCACAAAAGGAGCCGGGACGTGGAACTCTTTTGCGACTTGCACACTGGGTGGCAAGGAGAAAATCATTCATGCTCATCATTATGATGGAATGAAGCTCTATCTTTCTCTAACATAAACCATAAACTGTTCCGTACCACCGCTCTGCAGGTGCAGTCCACAGTGATCATGTACGTCAATAGCCTTGATCCAAAGCTCGAAGCAGCCGCACTTTGCCATTGTTACCGGGCCTCTAAAACCGTCAGGTGGATGAATTAGTACACAGCTTCCTGTTTGATGCCAGGAAACTCTGAACTGATCTTATTTATGGGAAAAAATCCCACACCACAAAAGATATTCCCTATTCCCAAGTACTCTCCCACATTTGTATTCTCTGCTCTAATAACTCTCTGCTTTAAGACTAGCACCATTCAGCCTAGGGCCGGGGGCTATGATTTTCAGGCCATGACAGGCACACGTTCATGAGTACGATTGATTCAGGAACTGACATCGGATCTACGTCAAACGCTGCGAAGGTTGAAACAAATTGGACGACAAATAAAAGCTGAATAGCTGAAGTTACCTTGAACAGTAGAACCTTATCCATATGCTTAGACTTGAACTCCCACCATTGCAGCTGTGACAACGATTATTCCGTAATCAGGTTCAACATGTCGACCAGAACGGCACCACAAAGCTTTTCATTTGAAGCGCAGTGGAACCACACAATACACAGATAAATAAATGATGCAAATGGTTGAAAACGAGTTTACTGAATCTGATTTTCAGTTGAAATAGGACAAAGATGAGCACCTGGCCTCCGGAGAGTTCCTTCGTGAAATCCTGGGGCAAGTAGACCGTTCGAGGATCGTAATTGGGATCCGAAGGGCGCCTTCCAGAAGCATCCTTTCGGTTCCTGTCCATATGCAACCAATTGAGAAGCTGCCTGCAGATTTGTAATCGATTGACATAGACTTCTATTGTGAACTTTCCTGATGACTATTTCATCATCAGCGCCTGCTCACCAAATCAATCCAGAATACACACCACATCTCGCATTGGAAACGGGGGTAAAAACAGCTTTCATCCTACCTTCCAAGAAACTTGAACTTCTCCTCCACTCGACCTAAAAACCGTGCAGCCGGTTCTCCAACCAAGGCTGCATGAAGTTCACCCCGAGCTAATCGTTCTGTGGCACATAGATCATCACAAAGATTTAGCATTTACCATCTCTTCCATCAATTTAGGTTGTGAAATCCGATCCCGTTCGAACTCCTCTCACCGACAAGGAACTATCACAAATCAAAATTTGACGACATTACCTAGAAAAGAGCGCATCCACATGATTCATGAACACAGGCGTGGCGACTGAAATCGGTGAGAAAACTTACGTGCTTCTATTTCCTGTGGGCTTTTGCAAACCTCTGCTTTCTCGAGAGATGTAACACCCTTCAAGCCTCCAGACAAAGCTTCTCTTAAAGTTTGTTTGTCAATTGGGGCCGATTTCACCTTTTTCTCGGCTGAGTCCTGCTTGACTTCAGACACAGGCTTCAACCTTCCAGGATGTGTATCCGCTGAGCATTTCTGTGCCCTCGCTCCCGAAAGCTTCTCTGAAAAGAATTCCTTCGCAGTCTTCTGACTAACCAAGGATTTTTCAGTCTTGCTTGGTATCTTCTTGGAGGCAAGATCGGCCAGAGTCTCGTTCAAAGGAGAGTCTTCTTCCTCCTCTTGCTCTTCTTCAGAACTGGAATGTTGCAGTGCAGCAAGTTGTTCAAGCTGCAATCGTCGGGCCGAGGTGCCGGGTCTCTTCCCTACAACCATGGATTCTTTGAGCTTGTGCTCAGCTAATGTCGTTGCCACCTCAAGATCCTCAACATCCAGCATCTCCACTTCTTCGACTTTTGGTTCCAGCTCGGTAGGGGAAACTTTTTTCTTCAACCTCCTCCGCACCTTCACTTCCTCTTCTTTCGGCATTGCCATGTCCACTTCGTCGAATAGATCTGCCGTGACGGTCAATTTCACCGGGCTGTCGGCGTCGGCTGTGGTCCGAGCCCTCTTATTCCTTCTTGCAAGTTTATCAGGAGAGCCACCATCCTCCTCTGGTTGCTGCATTCTAGGGCTGTCGAGGGTCCTTTCTTCACTGCTGCTCTTCTTCCGTTTCCCGTTTGCAGGCAGGTCCTCGTCTGCTTTTAACCCTCGACGCTTGGTGCGTGCACCAGCGAGTTTTTGCAAGCCCTCCAGAGCTTCGTTCTCGTCGAGCCAGTCTAGCTTCTCCTTGCTCAATGTCACAATCTCATCTTCCCCGTCATCATAAGCAATCACATGTGTACCATTCTCGTTATTGAACGCTTTGACCCTCCCTGGATACCACACTCTGTCCAGAGGCCACCATACCCTAAGCCTCATGCCCACAACGGAGTCTCCTCGGTTCGGAGATCCTCTGCCATTTCCAGCCTTGGCCGATTCCAACGCAGGAAGGTCAGCCGTCCCTTCTGCTTTGGTAGCGTTCTTTCCCCTTCTCCCAAAAAACTTGGTGACAGATTTCGCTGGGCAGGGAGCTTCTGTTGGAGACGGAGTTTGCACTCCGTCGGTTACTTTTTTCTTTGATGGTGAGGCTTTTTTGCTCCCATTCATTTCAGGAGAAACGGGGACTTCTAGTTTTGATTCAGAATTTCCATCGGCTGGGGGAGGGGATTTTGATTGGCTGCCATTTCGGGCCCTCTTCACAGCAGGTGATGATTCATTGACAGAAGGTATGTTCAGAGATGGTTTGGTATTCTTGGCAGAGGCAGTGGGCTTGGAAGCAGTATTGGCTTTAGAGCCAGACTCAAAGAATGACGCGATGGAGCGTTGCTGAGAAGATGCTGGTGCGGTTGCCGCACCAGCACCTACTTTCTTAGCAGGAGGCATGGGTTGAATTCAATGTTGCCAAAGTTTCAATTTCCTGATATGCAAAACCATGCCAAAATCAACCAGCAGACAAAAATGGGACAATTCAGAATTCCGCACGTACAATCTACAATCTGAACCAAAATGCAAGAGAAACACAATTTCTTCCTACTCACCTTGACAATTCAATCAGCCAGACAGCAACACCTCGATGACATCCGCCATCCTGAAGGCTCCACACCACAATCCGCACCTGTTCTGCACCCCTCCACGACGATCAGCCCCGCCAATGTCCTCTGCCCGCCCCTCCTTGACTGCTTGCCTGAACTGCCCCCCGGAGCTTTTCCTTGCAGTTCCTCACCTTGATAATTCTCTTCCCACTCAAAAGTACCTCAATTGCATCTCAAGTCAATCCAAGGCTCATATGACGCACTGTTGTGCTCACAGTGCCTGTGCAAAAACCGCCTTGCCAAGGAACTCCAGAGCTCCCTCCCTCCCTCCCTCCCTCCCTCCACCTCCTCCTACACTCTTTCAGAGGTCTGGGAAAGTGAGTCCAAGAGCATGCAGTTTGTGTCTATATGAGATACACATAAGACTTCAAGAGGAGGCTCAGACTCACTACTCTGACGGCGGGGAGTGGGGAGGGAGGAGGGGGTGGGGAGGCTGAAAATAAACAATAACATCTTGAAACACGGTAGAACTAACTATCCCCCCTCCTTCCTCCCTTCCTCCCCCCTCCCCCCTTCCCCAGCCAAAGGGACTCTGTTGAGTCACACACGGGCAGCAACAACAGCAAAACGCCACAGGCTCTTGGCCCCGGGATCATGAGGAGCAAGGTGCCTGCGGCTGCGGCATATGGTTTCCCTCCATCACTTTCCCGCCCTATCCAAACTCCCTCCTTTCTTCCTTCCCAGAACAAGTACAGCACAGCCCGGACCAACGTTCCTCCAGCTCCCTCCCTTTCCCCATCTTAGGACCCCCTCTAAACCCTCGCCTCGCCTCCACCTTCCCATGGCCCCACCCAAAGCCCAGGCCTGGATTACTAATCTTGACACCGCCCCCACACAGAACTGCAGATCTCTCCTTGAATGATTAAGTGGCCTCGGGCTCGGATGGGCGGGCAGGGCAGGGCAGGGGCCGGCTGGGAATTCCAATTTCCCAACAATAATGGGAAAAGGAGGAACTAACTTATGGGCCTCGCTCATGCCTACGTTCTTGGTGAACAGACTCCACCAACACCTGGCAGCCAAGCAGGAAAGTTTCACCGTGGGGAACGCCGGTTGTCAACGATGCAGTACATGGCTCTCATATACTTCCCTCGCTGCGTCGTGACCGTAGTCATTTCCCGACAGCCAAATGGGAAGGTCCGGTTGAAGAATTTCGCTAGTTTCGGCGTACTCAGTCTGAGCGTACGAATTCATGTGGCGAACATCTCTGGCCAGCATGTGCAACTCGAGTGTTGTTGGAAGGGGTATAAACAGCAGCAGTGGAACAGGTTTCTCACCCACCTTAGTTGACCCATTGGTAGAATATTCTACCTCGTCTTCTCACAACGAAAGTCCAGAGCGAGACCATTCGGCTTGAATTTGGACGGATACGTATGCAAACACTTGGAATCGAGGTACCTTACAGGCCCGCATACAATATGGTAAGATCAATCTGGCAAGACGCATGGTGCTAATGGTAGGACTGTCGTTGGAGCTCGTGATGCTTTCCTCGCATTCTATGTCTTCCTATTCTGGTGAGTGCGGGGCGGGCTAAGCTATCGGCACGTATGGGCTACGTTATGGGGCAGGGAAAGACCGCCGACCTTCTGCAGCGTCGGCTGCGGCCCGGGTACGGTACAGAAAGATCTGCTGCACCTCTTGCCTTCCAGCACGTCCGCCAAACGTCCTCGTTAACGCTTGTGGTGCAGTAGACAGAATGCTCGACGAAGAGGCCGTGGGGTTCAGAAATCCCTGTCAGAAAATCAGAGTACTGTACGAAATTCGCCACTGTGCTTCTGAACAAAGTGAACTACTTCCTGTGATTTGGGTTTTGAGCAGTCTGGAAGTATATCAATATGCTTCTCTAAGTTTTATTCATAACTCGAGCAAACTTCTCGAGCAACAGAAGGCTCTTAATGCGTGCTAGACAACTTTACTTCCAACTTAGCGCTAGACATGTAGTTTCAGACAGAAAGCTGAAAGCTGGCTGCTACGAGGAAAGGATTTACATCTTACAGCTGAACATGTAAACATTGGCAATCGTTGTGGTGACATGTCTTCCTTATCGCACAGAAACTCCTCTATGCGAAATAACAAACGATTATGAACCTTTTTTTTGTTTGTTATTATCACATGCAAATGAATCCGGGTCGATTCGTAAGCATGCTTGTTCCAGAACGAAACATCCTTTTCGAGAAAACGAGTGTAAAGTAGTTCACTCCAGAGTGTCTCCACTCCGAGAGCAACTTGCATAAAATGTCAAAGTGATGAAAATTCTGCTACCTAGATTGAGATGAGTGTCATCCTCACATCACACATTTGGAGATGGAGTTTAATCGAAGTTGACTATTCAATGCTTCGCTTAACTTGTAGGCACGCTACGTTATATGGGATGCGTACAATGGACAATCATACCATGTTGGTATCGCTAAGTTATCCAAGCAGAACTGATTCAATGGCTGTTACCGGTTACTCCCACAAGACTTATTGTTATTTGATGTCGTTATGAGTGTTTCCCCTTCAGCTCTCAGCGAATAAAATGTTTGCTCTAGGTCACATTTATTAACACCGCCTATGAAAATTGTTGTCTCTTGTAAACCCTGCATGTTCTGATCATACTGCCCGTATTTACAACATTTTCCTTGAAAATTCTGCATGTTGGACGAAACAGAAACTCTCGTTACACATAAGACAATGGGTTTAGGTGAAGGGCTTAACCCGAGCGGGTGTACTCCACTTGAAATGATAAAAGAAAGTGTCATTAAATCAAGAATAATATGATTATGAAGAATGTCGAACTACCTTTAGACGTACATGTTAATATATATTTCACAGAGAAAATTTCAGTTTGGAACATAAGGTACTCCTTGTTACAAAACCCGGGAAGAATTATTAAGAAGAAATCCAATCTTCCAATTCAATTGCCAGGCATTCCGCTTCTGCAACTCAAAGGATTGCGGCATCTTCTACAGGTGATGCTAGAAGGACGTCATTTTGGTAGGTATAGAAATCTCGGCTCATGAAGAGATCACCAACATATTGTTGTTTGTGTATCATAATTATGGTTTTGTGTGCTGAACGTTCAGCCGGGACCCGGGATATTATTTTGCTGAAGCGTGAAGTCAAGATATCAAATCTAAGCTAAACTACACAGGTGAAAAAATCTACGAGAGACATGTGCGAATATATGGAGATAATTGGCTGTATATGTTAACTCATGTTCTTCACAAAATATGATTTGCTCTTGCTGAGTGATATTTCACAAAAAGAGTTCAAACATGAACATTCGTAATATCCTTCGAGAACTATATCATGTTCTCTGAGATTAGCATGATAGTTCGTGTAAGGGTATTGGGAATCTAGGATCGTATGATCTCCTTCTCATCAGTTTACTGTTTGGAACCGTGCGGATGCAAGCTCACAATAACAACATCGGCATTGTACCATCTCTAACACAACTTAACAATTTGTGCTTATATAGATGTTACGAAATTAAGCTCCTCGGACAGTAATTGGAACGCCTTCTCTATTAAACGATTCCTACTCTTAAACCTTTTAGAACAACTCTCCCACTTAAGCATGGCTCTCTGTGTCTCCAAGAAGTTAAAGAAAATAAACTTCAAGAAAATCATGACAACAATTGTAAAGGTACAAATTATAATTGCGCTAGTTAGTTGTACCGTTATTGGAGTGGGAATATCCCATTCTGCTAGTCACAGACTGGTGCAGCTCTGATCTGAGTAACAACTCATCCATCGACTATCCTGGACACAGTACTCCATAATGTCCAATGCAAGTAATAGCTTTCAGTCTCCACAATCCACAGCTGTATCTCCAGAGACTAAGCTGTGTACCGCTAATTGCATTCGAAAGCCTTCAAGGTGTGTGGTTCTGGGCAGAGTGGTCATCTTAGAAGGGGAAACGCGCAAACCAATTGACTTGTATATTAATGTCTGCGGTCCTTCCACACACGTCGTGTCTGTTCTTGAGATAGCGTCAACCAGTAAACTCAACACTTCGACACCGTGCATAGCTGGTCGCACAGAAGGAGATGAGGTAAAGGTTTTCGAGCTGAGAGCTTTCAAGTCTTATATTTTTAGCATGTCCTTCGTACTAAGGGATGTGGTAGAAAACCTCATCTAACGTTGAAAGTTATTACAAGGAAAAACCGCACAAAAAATCTGGTTGTATTAGAAAGATCACACGGATACTTTGTTTCCGAGAAATTTGACATCTGACTATACACTCTCCTCCCGTTCATCCTGCCTTAGGCAGTTTCTTGGTCAAGGGGCAGTGGTCTTGAAACAGTGACATTCAGGATAGTGGGCAGAGCAGACAACCGTGCACAGATCGGGTTATGAATTGTTCAACAACCCACATGTGGAAATCATTTGCCTCAAAGCAGAGGCTTAGTGATACAGAGGTGAGATATCTATTGGTAATCAGCAATTCCCTGCATGAGATCGACTAATTCTTCATAAAACTAGAGTGTCACAGCAGAATTTTCAAGAATTTGAACTAAGTAGAAGCAACATGGTTTTTCTATTGTTTCTTGACAAATCCCAGCTCGTTCTCGTTCGCATAACGCTCCATGAAGCGCATGAATCGATCCCACTCCTTGATGTTGCGCATGACATATCGAGCTTCTATCTTTGCTGGTTTACCGTTGACAAACTTTGCACTGACGTCCACGGATGAGAGCGTACCTTCTTCATCAATCATATAAAGGCCAGTGATATCTCCCAACTCCCTGGAAGAGTCGAATACAGAAGGCTGGTCAAACTCAAAATTGGCCACCCCATTTGTTCCATCTCGGGATCTGGTGAGCTTCACATCCGGAACAGTTTGTTCATTGATGCCCCTGATGAATTGGATAACAGGTCTAGCAGCAGCCACAACTAGTGGCCTGGAACCAAACCCTCCGGCTTTGGGCACGCTCCATACCGAAGCTGTAAGCTGTCTAACATCTCCAGCGAAAGAGCTTCTGGCGCTGTGGCAGACTCCATTCCCTTTCAATACGATAGAACCTGCAGAAAGTAACAATCAGATTGGCACTGGGTTGCACGTATCGACGGCAACAAAATTACATAGATACAGAATATCGTTGTTTTCCGCAAGAGCTCGGCATGATCCATAGAGCCAACTACCCATTGCTGCTTGAAGCAGATGTTAATTTGCCTTGAGCATAAACTTCAAATTTATCGGTGACACGAGCAAGGACTCCACAAGCGAAAGACTAAAAACGGGTTATTGTGACGATTTTGAAACATCAAGAGCAACCTCGACACACACATACACACAGCTTGCAGTTGTCTCAACGTTATTCATCATTCGAGCCGGGAAAGATCCAACAAGCAGCAACCCATCATCTATGTGCCCATTTTGCCTGAGGCAAGTGTGTTAGCATAAATCTACAACATACTCATGGAACTTACAATCAGTGAAACAGAATATGGCAACAGTTGACAGGCAAATTAAGGACGAAGATCGACTGATGACTATAAAAGGTTCCAAGATCATTAGCAAGGCAAGCTACAAAACGCATGCTTGTTTAAAGACGTGTAGAGGACAGCTGCACAATAAAATCCCACCGAATCTCAAGGGCAGTAGACCATATATGTACGCGCATGTGCGGCACTATGAGCTGACCTTGCCGTGCAGCAGGGTTGGTTTTAATGGGTGTGACCTTTCTTCTCAGGGAGAGAATATGATAAAGGCCAACACAGGCAAAAAGCAAATCCAAAAGAAGTAGAAAAAACTCACACAAGAAGACTAAAAGGACAAAAGGAGTGAAGAGTGACTCGACAATCATAATCAGATTAATATGCCTTAGCAGCACAAGCCCTGATCGTAGCGAAAAAGGACGACGTGAGGACAAGTGACAGGACAGCTACGAAAATGTTCCAAAATCCAAAATTGACTCTGTAAGCCACTCCTTTCATGAGGGCAATTAGGGCATACCAAACAGTATATCTTGTCGAGGTTTCTAACCGACAAACCTCATAATTTGTCTTCGGATGATATGAAAGATGTTGATAAGGATGGAAAATGTGATTCTTCCTCAGGAAATATACCATATAGCTTCAAAATGAAGCTCCTGATTCACTCGGTTGGGTGTGGTCTCCAGTTAGACTCCAAAACATGGCTAACTGATCACATAGACACGCGCGAAGAAGCATAATCTACTCACGGTATCAAGCGAAATGCGTCAGTGACGTGCTCAAAAGCCCAGATGCGACAATTGGCATTCACATTGGAGGGGACTGAGCTTGCAGCGCGCAGCATTCTAAGCAGTTCTCCTTACGCGCCAATGTACAGAACTTATGTCACCAGCGGCACCAAGACCACTGACATCAGGTGCATGGCTCGAGGAGACAATGTACGCCACATCACATGAAGTACGGAACTCTTTGCAAAGTAAAACGGTTGGAAACGAGAATTCCCTGACCAAGTACAAGCCTAGGGCTTCCTTCAGCGAAGCAGGACTTCGCCAATGTACATTGAAACTACAGGATGAAAGAGTCGAATTCCCAGCCAGAAAAATCCGAAAATATCTGATTCTATCGTGCGCTCTAAATCACAGGAATGCAAGGAGTGCGTGCTGCAATGTTGGCTGAACGTAGCTCTCGACGGGACGTAAGCCTTCGACAAAACCGAACCGAGCACTTTCGAAAAAAAAAAGGCAGAGATGGCAAGTGTCCATAGCCACACCAGAGATAGACACTCACGACGCCCATCAGCACACCGAACGCAGAGTTTGAAATTGTCACCTGTGCTGCGCGAGACCGGGGCTGAAACAAAATGCTGCGCTTGGTCTTCAACCGTCCTCCTCTGCGATTGCGAAACGGACGAGGCAGACGGGCCGCAGGACAGACTGAGGTGAGACAGAGTGACCGCCATTGCCCCCGAGCTGTCAATCTGTCTAAAATTCGATTCTCGACACCATTCAGTGTTTCAAACGAGCTCCTGCTCCGTGCAGCTCAGCTGATCCAGCTCTCTCTCGAATCAGATGGCTCGCCTTCCTTTCCACCTCCACCCCAAGCCAGTCAGCCGACCACGGCTTCCGAACCATAACCAGAGCCCTCTCACTACCCCCGTTTCCAGCCTGCTTCCGCGCACGGTCTACGCTGCTCGACATCAGCGCCATTCTCCCGACCTGACGGCCGTAACTCCTAACCTCACCAGGTCAGCTCGAACTGTGGACCATCGCATTCCCCCGTCGCAGTCCATGGACCGAACCCCACAGTAGTCTCCAGCTGGTACACAAAGACGACTGCCGCTAAAATCAAAGCCATTGTAGCAGTTCGAGAATTACACCGAGAGAGCGTGAAAGCCATGAGAGCTTTAAGGAGGGTGAGTCCAAAACGTCGTTCGGAAGACGACTCCAGGGACTGTGCGCAGCTGGGGCCTCGAGGGCTCCTGTCTTTTGTGGCAGATTGCTCCCTTTTCCAACCGGAGCAACAGCTGCGAACCACGTCGGTGGTTGGGAGCTCCGAGTGTTCAGCTGAGAGTTAAACCGCCTCAGACGATCAGGGTCCAGGAAATCAAAAAAGATGGCAACGGATAAGACAGAGTGGGAACTGTGCGAGAAACGGAGCAGTTGCGCACGATTGACCGTGATGAGGATAGGGTCCACCGTGTTCGCTCCACAGCCAGACACATCAGCCCCCTCGGTGGGCTCTCGGCAAACCCAGATATAGCCCGTGGCTGACAGCCTTCTTCATCTAACTCCACCCTGGAGCCCGTGACGCCTCGAGAGGTGAGGCTGGCGTGTTCCAACTGTCTGGTAATTTTGGCTTCGGTGTTGTGTTGTGATTCCCCTCGATAAAGTCGACCGAGGTCGAGACGGGCACGACGTGTTCGAGGATCTGCTCTGCTGTGACTGGGGCACCACAGAAGAACCAAGTCTGATGACGATGGTCTGCGAGAGAAAGCGGCTGTGTCATGTAGTTACGAGTCGGCTCACGAAGTTCAGACACTTACTATATTTAGCCGTAAAGTTAGGGTTCCGGTCACGAGGGGTATACAGTCGGGGACGGCTCGAAGAACGTCAGTTCTTCGAGTCGAGCCTGGAAGCGTTGGGAGCGTAGAGTGACTTTCCCCTTTGCGTCGACCTGGATTCTCCGAGTGTGGAGTGGGTTGGGCTTGACTCATGTTTGTGACGGTGACGGTTTGTTGCCAGTAGGGTAATTGACCGACGGGAATTCCAGTGGGGAATCTCCCGTTCATTTCACTCGAAGAACTGCCGTTTGCCGAAATCATGACAGTTTACGGTTTCTACGTGTAGTTTCGGTGTTTTTCTTGAGCCTGCGATTGAATTCATTCGGAGGGGTTTTGCACAGTAGGTCTTGCTGAAGGAGAAGTTTGAATGATTTTTGCAGTCAAAGTTTGAGTCGAAGATTTCGAGATTCTTTTGCGTTTGTGATAGGGTTGACGGGTTTTTATGATTGAGAAATTGTTCGGAATCGAAGCTGCGAATCGTCGGTCCCTACGAGGTTTGGCCGGGCTGCAAAGAGTGGAATCACAGGCAGAGATTGTTCGCGGGACGACTCGACGATTTGTCGATCCGAAATGGGGACTGATTAATGGGCAGAGTGGAGTCTGCGTAGAGAAGAATGCGAGATTCCGATTAAGTGCGAGCGTCTGCGCGAAGAAGATGGTGTCTAGGAATTGATTGTTGCTGCAGCTGCTGCTGGCTGGCTGCTGTCTCCTCACGAACGAAGCGCAGCACAGGACGCTGGTCTCTCTCTTGGTGTGGCTCGGGTGTGTTGTGCGCGATTGCAAATTTTCGATTGCGGGCTCGGTAGATTGATTCCTCGCGCGACCGGTCGCTGCTTCTTCAGATGATGGAGGATAGTGGACAGTAGTAGATGAGGACGAGGAGGAGATGTTGGCAGCGAGCGTCGACGACGGGGGAGGAGTGGAAAGGACTGGGAGTGGGAGGAGCATCAGCATCGACGACGAAACAGGAAGCGGAGGCAGGAGGCGATGCTGCTGTGATGGTGCTGGTGCCGCGGAATAAGAACCACTACTGTCGTAGCGCATCGGTGTTGCTGCAGCTCGTGCAGTCGGGGAATCCCATAGCGTAAGAAATAAGTAGCTGGAACGAAGGAACGAACGAAGAGGAGAGGAATTTCTCCTCGTCATGATGGTGATTGCGGTGGCACTCGAGGTGCTTTTGCTACCGTAGTGGATGCGTATGGTATGTATCAGTGCTCTGTTCCGGACGAATACGTCGGCCAAAGGAGGAGGCGGAGACTCGGGACTGTTGTTGTTGGACTGTGGATGGTGTGACAGAAGACGTTCTTTTCGTAGAGGAGGACGAGGACGAGCGAGGTTTGGCCTTCTTAGGGTTTGCGGTGCGAGGAGGAGCAGACAGGACCCGATCACAAGAACTATCCGCCCGGTCGTCTTTCTGCCCGGTTGAGTCAATGGACGAGCTAAGCTGCTGTCTCAATGCACCGGTCAGTGTGAATTTCCCTCTCTGAGCACAGATGTTGATATTTTCTCAACTCCCGACTGCTCATTTCCGTACAAGCTCAACGCAGATTTTCAGTTAAAGAACAATCCATCTTCAGCATATTTAGTGTATCCGAAGGCTGCAACAGATTATGCTCCCTTGAGTAGCTTCAGTATCATGTAGAAGCTGAATTCTTCAAAGCGACCACCAAATCCAGCCAGTCGAAAAGCAACAGACTACCATACGCAGCAAGAGTGCTTCAGTGCAAATGTCGTCGACGCACAGACAGACAAGACAAGACAGATATGCCCCTGTATATGGCCCCATAAACTTGGAAAGATACTGTACATAGATCTTTACTGCTTCAGGAGTTTCAATTGAGTAAAACTTTCCACCTTCCAGTCGGCCTTCAGCAAACAGTATTCGCGTAATTCTGCAGTCGCAGGAGGCTTAAGCTTGATACATTGATCCACACGGGAACTGCTTTCAACAATTACTAGACAGGCCGGACTTTATAGAGGTATATCTGCCGGGTACATCTTGGGGCAATTCTGAACAGCCTGCCGTACTAGCTTCTCCTGCTCCTCCAGGATTTTGGGAAGAGAGTCGTAGACGTCACTGAAAAGGTCTCCCATGGAGGCTGAGTGACAGTTACTGATAGTAATAGTGGCCACTTAAAACTTGTACAAAGGAAGTATACTGAGTTCAGTTCAAAGCTAGTTCAGAGAAACAGAGTACCCATTTTAATTATCTGGGTATCTGTACTTGGCATTGATGGCCAAATGTCATGAATAGTTCGTAGTTCAGGCACATTTGATCATATATCAGATTTCTACTATCAGTGATAAGAGTAGTGTGTGATATTACACAGAGGATGGAATAGTTTGAGCACAAGGTTTGGCAATTATTTCCTGTGCTACGCATTTTAGAGTTGACTTTATATAGGTCTTAAAACTCTCTTCAGTTATCGTATCATTTTACTGTGGTAATTATACATCAGTATAATTTACAGTAAAAGGGTTACTGGTGATCCTGTAACACTTTGTGATAGTTTCTAGTTAAACTATTTTTAGTTTTCAATTTAGTGATCTAGTTTACAGATACTCTGTAAACAATCCTTGTACCAGTGGAGCTGCGAGTATCGGCATCAGTGGAGGTGCGAGTAGTAGCGTCAGCGAGGTTACCAGTGGAGCAGTTGGCGCAACTGGTACTAGTACCAGCAGCGGTACTGTTAGCATTGCCGGTGGCAGCACGAGGGGAGATGCTGGTGGCGTACCTTCGTTTAGCCCCATTCCTGAGTTCTTCCAGAGATTGAGGAAGAATTATCAAGGGGTGAAAACGGAGAAGTTGAGGAGCCTCCAGGAGTTTGAGCGGAAGACTGGTGAGAGTCTTCGTGAGGCATACACTCGTATGCGACGACTCATCTCAGTTACTCACGGTGTGACTGAGGCACAGGCTGTCCAGTACTGGTATCGGATCCTTGACAGAGAGTTGCGGAGGAGAGTGCGTGATGCTACTCTCATGAGCGACTCATCACCCACATTAGCCCATGTGTTTGCTCTTTCTGAGAAGATTGAGCTTAACATGGTGGAGGAGAGGGTGGTGACGTCTACATTTGCGAGAGACACGACCACTACCTCGCGTATCCCACATAGCCCAGCACAGTCTCGCCCCATAAGTGGGAGTCGTGGAGGTCATACACGACATCCTTCAGGTCACAGAGAGCCTAGTGCGCGGCCACCACTGCCTTCATTTTCGGGTCAGCCACAGGGACCGTCATGTTGGACATGCGGAGGTAGCCATATGAGGAAGGATTGTCCCCAGGAGCGAGAGGGACAACCTCCACAGACTAGGCCACAGCCAGCACAGGTGACCTGTGATCATTGTCATCGACCGGGTCATCCTCGAGAGCGTTGCTTTGACCTTCATCCTGAGTTGAGATCTGGAGGTAGAGGTCGTGGAGGTGATGCTCCGCGAGGCCGAGGTGGTCGAGGTGGTAGAGGTGGTAGAGGTGGTAGAGGTATCGGGGCCATTGAGCGTACCGCAGCGAGTGCTACTTCTGCCACAGAGAGCGCTATGGCTGCTCGGATTGAGCAGTTGGAGCAGAGGCTTGCTGCTATGGCCGGTCTTGGGGCGAGCACTTCCACATCTTACGAGGGAGAGGATTTCTCCTATTTGGCCAGTGCAGCACAGGTTGAGGCATCAGTTGCAGTGACCAGAGGTGGTGCTCGCACTTCAGAGCCACGTGGTGCGACTGTGGAGTTGGACCCTCAGAGGGGTGAGGGTGGACGTCAGTCTAGACTTCCCCAGTCTTTTTTGTTGTCAGAGGTGGGTAGCAGTTCATCTATGAGACCTGCACCGCCTACTGACACTAGAGTGAGAACTGAGGTTCTTACATCATCTGTTGTGGGCGCAGACTTGCCATCTAGTGCAGTGATGCGGATGGCCACTTCAGTCTTGCGATCTCCATTGTTCTCAGCCACGGAGTTGATAGATTCTGGTATTGATTTGGCTCGAGTATTTCGGGTAGCAGCCACGTCGTGTGAGCGTGGGAGAGTCGCTGCTACTAGTGCCGAGATAAGTGAGGATACAGTTGAGGACCCATCCTCAACGTCTACATTGTTCGAGGAGACGCCTTGGCAGGCCGCAGCGGCGAGGATGGAGTCCTTACCAGCTCGCCCAGCCATTGATCGCGAGAGTATTGTCCCTGGTGTATGTATGGTGGACAATCGAAGTGGTCTATTTCGGTTAGTGAGTTCTACTGGACAGGTGTATGTCCCAGCCAGAGTTTTGTTGGATTCTGGTGCACAGCCCTTGATGTTGGGCAAGGCTGCGTGCATTAGTTTGGGCATTCGGAAATCCGAGTTGGAACCTTGCCCATTCCAGATCCAGACATCCCTTGGTGGTGCCAGCAATAGGTCTTACTTTATGACCAGGGAGAGCATAGCGGTGCAGTTGAGGCATGATCACCCTCATGATAGCTCGCAGTTTGGAGTTCGTGCTGTGGTTACATCAGCAGAGTCATATGATGTGC